TGTTTTGTAACACCATGGAAGTATAGTTTATATACTAGTAACTACATATTTAAGGCCTACAAGCTGAGGAATTTTGACATCTGTATAATTATGAAGTTATCATCAGTGCTAAATGAACATTATTGTAACTCTCAAAAAGTTTCTTACACTATAAATCTTAAGGCACTAAGATCTGGGGGAAATAAACATCATAATATTTATTCAAATTCATGAAAACGACATTTCTCCATTCATTCAGTCTTGCTTAATTTTCTTGGGGAATGAAGTTTAGTTCATTGTAGAAGACTTACATGTTTTCATTTAGATTCAATACTTTTTCTTGAGGCAAGGTCTCATTTAGCTGGAATTACAGGCATGCACCACGATTCCGGGCATAAGGATTTTAATATATAGTGCATCTCTGATATTCTGCCATATGCTCAGTTAATATTCTACCACTTTGCCACTTCATATGTGTAGGAATCTTCCTGTTATTTAGGTCCTCTTTGCATTTTCCCTCTCTATTCCCCATAGTCATAATATGAAGTATATCTGAATACAGAATAAAAGTTACAAGATAGTATATTGCAACTTCTGTCTTTAATAGTATATAATTTTTAAAATTTAAATATTTTTGATACTTTCTTGGATATCTCTTCTGTTTCTGGAACTATAATGTGTAAGGTTCTCAAAAGATTGGATGGATGGATGAGACTGGCCAGATAGCTCAGCAGATTAAAGCTGCCAGCTTAGGCAGATGCAGGGGCCAGAGTTTGATCCCCTGGAGGCTGAGCCGGCCTGTCCCCAGGGTGCACTGAGACAAGTGATTGAGACTGGGCGTGGTGGCACATGCCTGTAATCCCAGCACTTGGGGCGCTAAAAACAGGAGGATCACTACAAGTCTGATCTGTGTAGTGAGACCTGTAGACACTGTCCTAAATACAGAAGGAAAAAAAAAAGATTGGATAGATATAGGTAGGTAGGTTTCACTTTATTTTCGTTTCTCTGGAAATGTCCTTGTTTTGACTTTTTTTCTTTCCCTTTAAGTTAATCATTTTCTTTCTTGAGAATGTTTTCATTAGATGTACAGTTGGGTTGACATTTATTTTTGCCTTTAGCACTTGTTAAGATGTTCACTGTCTTAAGGACTTACACCATTTGTGATGTGAAATCTGTGGTCATTGCCTAGTTGATGTTTCTCAGTATGTGATACATTGTTTCTCTTTGGCTGGCTTTTGTATTTACTTTGAAGTCAATTATGAGAATCTCAGTGTGACTTTAGTGTGACTTGTCTGTGATTTTAGTCTTATGGTGATTCATTGAACTTTTCAGATTTATAAATTGGTCTTCCATTAAGTTTCTAAACTTATTATCATTATTTCTTCCATGTATTTTCTATCCTTTTCTCTTCCTAGAAATGGCAGATACTTATCAGACATTTGGGATTATTCACAGCTTTCTGAGACTTTTTTCTCTTTCCCTGTCTTTTCCTTTTCTTCTCTCCTGCTTCTTTTCCCCCACATCAGGTTAGGTAATTGCTATTTAGTGATCTTTGAGTTTACTGAGTCTTTCCTCTTTTTTTACTCTAATTTTAAAATAAGGCCTATCCACTGATTTTTTTTTCCTTTCAGAAATTATAGTTTTCAAGTTTAAATTTTTTACTTTGTTGCCTTTTCACTATGATTTCTCTCATTATATTTTCATGCAAGTGTTTATTTCACTGAGCATAATTGTAATAGCTACTTTAAAACCTTTGTTTCAGCCAGGTATGGTGGCCCACAACTGTAGTCCCAGTACTAGAGAGGCTGAAGCAGGAAGATTGCTATAAATTCAAGGACAGCGTGAACTACATAGTGAGATCCTGTCTCAAAAAAACAAAACCAAAAACCAAAAAATCTTTGTCTCATAATTCCATTATCTTTTTGGCATGGACATCTTAGGTTATTTTCTCTCTTAAAGAAGGGCTCCATTTTCTTGTTACTTATATGTTAGGTAATGTTGAATTATATTTGTAGATTGTAAATATTATATTTTACCTACTCTGGCTTCTGTTAAAATCTTGTGTAAAATATTGATACCTTTATTTTAGCAAGAAGTTGACTATGTTAGACTCAAACTGTAAATTCATTCTCTTCTGTGGACAGTGGCTGAATTTGAACTGGATTCCTTTTTGCTTCTACTTTGATACTAATCTGCATATGCATATTTTAGCGATCAGCTTATGTTGTGTTTCTTCCTTTTTATTTTTAATGATTTATTTGGTACACGGTCTCGCCACGCAGCTTGGACTCGTAGTGATCCTCCTGTCTCAATCTCTCCAGCACTGGGATTGCAGGCACGTGCCACCATGCCCAGTTTTGGTGGCCAGCACAATGCGCCTGGGGTTCCAGGGCTGGCACTGCATGTAGTGCTGGGGATCGAACCCAGGTCCTTGTGCTTGCTAGGCAGGTGCTTAGATTGCCAAGCTATCTCCCTAGCTCAACTTACGGTGTTTCACACACAGAACTATGGAATCATTTTTTATTTTCCCCTTGTATGGAATTCTCTTTTCCTTCTGTTCTAGCTATTTTACTTGATCGCTTTTCCTTGCTCCCCTTGACAAAAAAATAGCTCTAGGTCTTTATACCTAAAAAGTCCTGCCCAACCTTGGGACAAAGCTGCAGAAAAATAGGAAATTCATCCAGTTAGTGAAATTTGATTTCTATATCTATTCTGTTTATTCTTCAGAAATCTCAAATAGCTGAGCCATCACCACTGCTACCATACTTTAAAGTTGTTAATAGCAGAAGATTGGTTGTAGCAGTATCATACTGCCTTACTCCAAGTTGAATAAGGACTATATCCTGTGCTGTTGAGAACATCTACACTTTTAAGAGGGTGACCTTCACTGCCTGTATTGAAAAATGAAAGTATGAAGAAATATTAACTCAAAAGATTTTTAAAATTTACTGTCTAATGAATAATAGTTAAATTGTAAATCTGACTGTAAGGGAATACAGTGCCTCATCTCCTTTCTCATTATTTAGTATGGAGTGTTCCTTTGCATATTCTGGCATCAGTAACAGTCATAGTCTAGTGCTTATCACAATAGCTAACATTAATTGTATATTTCAGGTACAGTGCTGTTTTACATGAATTACTTGATGAATGGCCTTTTTATAGATTAAGAAACAAGCAAAAAGTTTGAGTAATTTGCATAAAATAGCACAGGGTTCCCTTTTTATACCAGTAAAGAGCAAGAATTAATGAGCCAGAAGTCTGGGCTGAGACAACTGAGTTGAGTTAGAGGAACATAGTATTTGTAGCTTTCTAAGGTAATCTGTGTTAACTCATATATAACTAAACTAACATAACTGACAATACAATCAAACCAGAGAAAAAATTACTTTTATGATTCTTCCATCTCCTTTCTCTGTATCCCTTTTCCATTTTCACCTCATTCTCAGTGCCCAGCACTCTGTATGTTTGGCTCTGTGTCTTCCCTTCCTTTCAGTCATGTTTCCTGCTCCCTATCCTCAGGTTGTTTAGATTACCTGATGAAAGAAATGCATGCTAAGGAACTTAGTGCTAAGAAATTGACCTCTGAAATGTGGCTCAGTGAAATTGTTCTTTTGGTTGTAGTTTTTTGCTCTTCTGTTTTATTTTTACTCAGGGTGCCAGAGATGGAACCCAGTACCTTGTGTATGGTCAGCAAGTGTTGTACCTGAGCTACACCCCAGCCTCAAGTATTACTTTTTAAAACTATGTGTTCAGTTTGTGTCAGGTGTGGTACCAGTGTTTTCTCCAGAGGGTGCGTATGAACCTGGCATCCTGGACACTTGGTGCTCACTTCACCTTCCCTGACTTCATCACTGAGGCCACTCCTGGGAGCACATGGAAGGAAGAAAGAGAAAAAGGGCATTCAGAGTGCTAGACGCAGAAAACCTTCAGTATTTTTAAAATTTCTACGTATTTGTAGCATATAATTATTACATTCCTCATGAGTTGATACACATAGATAACATCTTAATTTTTTTAAACCTCTTCCCCTCCCCTAACGTTCACTGGTTTTTTTTTTGGACATCTGCGTTAGCTGTGCACACAACACCTATGAAGTTCTGTATATATTTGGAATATTGTTCACAGTATTCTCTTAAACACAAAAGAATAATAAGTGATAACTGAGAGGCTTAAACCAGAGGAATTTCTTTTCTTCCCAGGTAAAAGTCTGAGCTGGTAGATTCGGTCAGGAGATAAAAACTCTATTCAAGGTCATTCAGATTCTTACCAATCATGTTTGCCCAGCATTTCCCAGAGTATTAATACTTGAGTTGCCATGGTTGAGCATAGGACCACTGCATCTTTATGCCACCTGGAGGAAGGGGGAAAGAGATTTCAGGGCAAGTTCATTCAGAGATGTGTTGCAAAACTTACAGATGTAGTTTTGCATGGTGGTACATACCTTTAATTCCAGCATCGTGGGAGACTGAGGCAGGAAGATCCCACATTTAAGGCCACGCTGGATAATTGAGAGAAAGACCCTGTCTCAAAATTTTTTTTAAAGGAGTAGCTGCTGGGGATACAGTTTAACATGTAAGTCCTTAGTTCAATCTCCAGTACTGGGGGGCAGGGGAGAGATGTACTCAGTCCCTGCTTCTCATTAGCCAACTTTAGTCACATGACCATAGCAAATGATTTTGGAAAAGGCAGTCAGTAGCTATAGAGAACTGTATAGGGCTCTGTTACTAAAGGGGTAGAAAGAGAATGGATATTAGACGACTGCTAGCTGTCTCCCCTACAGAAGTTTGTTGGCAATTTTTGCCAGCCAATCCTGTAGCACATTAAAAGAGTTGTTAGGGAATAACTCTTATCAGTGTACTTTTGATCAGTAGCGTAGTAAGATAAAGATGGTACTTCAGTAGCTACATATTTTCAGAAACTATATACAAAACTGGATGCTAGAGAATTTGATGAAATCCCTTGAACTGTATTAAAATTGCTGGATATATGAGCTAATGATTATGTATTTTCTTGTATTTTAGGCCTCAACTCCATATAGCATAGATTCAGATTCTTTGGGAATGGAGTGTATTATTTCGGGAAGTGCCTCTCCAACTCTGGCAATCAACACTGTGACTAACAAAGTAATTCCACTTTTTGAACATCTTTGAAATATCCTTGAGTAATATATTTAATTTGCTTTTATAGTGATAGAGATCTGTATATGGTCAAGCTTCAAGGTTATGTAAATTTGCTTAATCTATTCATGCTTATTGTATTCATACAATATTTTGAGGTATGTATGAATTAGAAGAAAATTTTCTCAGAAATTAGAAGGTGCTTACTGGGAAACTATTAATTTAAAATCTTTTTTTTTTTTTAATTTAAAATCTTGATTCTGCCTATTCCCATCGATAGAATTTCTGAGCTAGCATTTTATTGAACTGTTTTAAAACTTTGATCTCCCCTTCACATATATGTTGAAAAAAGATGTTTGAATTTCAGGGAGCCAGAATGATCTAGTAAAACAAATAATTTGGGCAACCTAATAGAGTTTGTTGGAGTAAGTCAACCTGTTCTGATATTTAAGTTTAAGCACATATTCAGAAGCAGTATTTGGAGGTTGAATATGTTTTGTGATGTGAATCAAAACTTTATGCTCAGTGATTAGATACCTAGAGAGATACAAATGTTTCTTTGTTACAAAGTAATTTCTTAACCTCTCACCTCAGAACTCTAAAAAGGTCTGAGAGTTTCATAAATTCATTTGTGTGTGTGTGTGTTTCTCTTATGCTCGATCCTTCATCCCCTGAAGCCTATACCTGTCATCCTCCTACTCATATTCTCTTCCAGTCTTGTTTGCATTATCTGACTTTTACCCTCTTTTCCTTCCCTTTCCTCTCTGGCTCTCATTAGTACTATTTCATTGTTTTTATCTTTTCTTCTTCTTAGGCACACATTAGAAGCACATGCCTAAATATATTATCGAATTGAAATAGTACTCAAAGGATCTTTTTGCTTCGTGACAGTCAGGTATTCAGTTTAGAAAGGGAACTGGCCACTAACATGTATAGAATATTACTTTTTTCCCACAAGGCCGTCTGTGGAATTATATCAGTCATTTAGGGGAGGGGACTGTTTATCTTTGTTGGTGGGTGATGATCCTAGAATTTCAGTGCAGTCATGCCAAGTTTGTTTCTCTACCCTTGTTAATAGGGGCTAGCAATATGTATTCCCAGCAGTCATCTCTTAATGATGACCAGCTAGATAGAACAACTCTGGTGAAGTACATGGGTTAGAATAAGAAGGCTCTAATACTGCTCTGCAATATGAATAATGCTTAATTTTCTGACCAAATAACATGGTGTTGACGGAGCTGAAGTTTTCTACCTTCTTTCACATGTAATGGGGATGGCTAACATCAGACATCTGTAAAATCTCCCTCCCTAAAAAAGGAGGGAGAGAGTAGAGATTAAGACTGTTAGGACTCCAGTGGCCAACACTCCTGAGCAAAGGCAAACAAATTGAGATAAACCTTGCAGAATTCCTTGGGGACATTTGCCAATTCTTCATGCATGGCATGGAGAGTAGACAGAACAGCCTAGAGCAGTCTTTGAGTTACAGACAAACACTGGAGTTTAGGGCTATACGATAGCTGCATTTTGAGTCAAGGTCCCGAGGAACCTCTCAGAAAGGACTTCAGCTCTTTGTAAACTATCTACTTTAGACATTTGCTAACTACTAGTTTTGTGTGCTTGGCCTCAGTCACAAAGTACTACTTCCACTAGGCAGAATTCAGCAGTCTTATAAAGCAAGAGATAAAAATTATAGTTCAGGTCTTCAAGAAGGAGAGGAATGGCAAGTATTCTAGGTCTTAAAGTTGTTACTTAAAAGACTTATTCTGTTTGAACAAACAGAAATTGATGAGTTGTAATATGCAAATGTTCTTCTAGCAAGAAGAAAACTAAATGCTGTTTGGAAGAATGTAATATCCAGAGCTTCTAAAATTTTTCATGATTTATTGACATAAGTTCTATACCTTATGAACCTCTGCTCTTGATTATTAAAAAATAGTAAAAGAATATACAACTGATAAGGAAACAAAATAAATCTTTGGATAATTCAAAAGTAAGAAGGGAAAAAGAAAAAGAGATGGGACCAAAAGAAAGCAAATAGTATTTAAAATCTAATTACATTAAGATTTACATTAAATGCAAATACATAAAATACTCAGTTTTAAAAGACAGCCTATCAGATTTTAACAACCATCTGTTGCTTGTAAAGGATTGTAAAAAGAAAGCAAATTACCAAAAAAAGAGATGTTTCATTAACAAAAGCAAACAAAGTATAAAGCTAAATTTGTATGTCTAATTACATAATCTCAAAAGATGACATTGGTATAGTGGAGTGAAACTCCCAACCTGAAAGGTACCAGGATGAATTCTTGTTCTCTAAAACTGAAGAATGAATTTTAGAAACAAAAGGAGTTTAAGAGCAGAATTATATTTATTGGGGGAAAGAAACTTCCTGTCTGAGAGAGGGATAGAAGGGGGACCCAAGTGGGTTGTCCCAGAATCTGGGTTTCTGGGGATTTTTATAGAGCAAAACCATGGTGAGGGGGTCTAAGGTGGAAACCATGGGAATTTGCTGCGGTGGGCATGAGGTGGGACTAAACTATGGTCAACCAGCAAGGTTACAACCACCATTGCTTGTAAAATTGATTGAATCCAGGACCAAATGGGCAAATGAGTCATGTAGCAAGCAGGCATGACTATGGAACAGGGTCTCTTCCTGTTGGGGGAGTGACTCCTCCTGGCTCTTTCAAGGTGATTGATACCTGTTTAGAATATCAATCCCTGATGTCCATCCCTACGAAAGTACTTGGCTGCACTTGTTTACGATTTTTTCTTGAGGTTTGTCCCATAATGGGAGTGTCTGTCTTTTCCAAAATTGGAAAGTAACCTTGTCTTCCATATTGTCTCCTTGAGGGCCTACCCATCTGACTGCCTATGCAGTTTCTATCTAATTTAGCTGCCTACAAGATGGCTGAAAAGAGACATGGACAAATTTTGTATTACAGTGGTAGAAATGAATATTTCTGTCTGTGAACTCATGGAACAAGCAAGCAGAATTTAAGACAAGAAAAAAAAAGCTTAGGTTAAAAAAAAGAGAGAACCACAAAAATGAAATTTGACCCAGTTCACACACACACACACACACACACACACACACACACACACACACGTATGTATTACATCCAACAGTTACACAATATAATTTTTTATTGACATATTAGAGATTGAACCCAGGACCTTGGACATGCTAGGAAGGCACTTTACTTCTGAGCTTCATTCCTAGCCCCAAACTTTTTTTTTTTTTTTTTTTGGTGAGATAGGGTCTTGCTATGTTGTTCAGACTGGTATTGAACTCACTTTGTAGCCCTGGTTGGCTTTGAATTCACGTTGATCCTCCTTCTGCCTCCTCATTGCTGGGATTACAGGCATGTACAACCATACTCCTCCAAAGTATGCATTTTTTAAAAAGTATACATTGAATAGTTACAAAATTAACCACATATGGATCTATGTTTGATTCTAAAGGAAGTCTCAACAAGTTTCAGAAGACTGACAAGGTGCAGATTATTTTAGCAATAATAACAAAAAGATACCAGAAAATTACTCCAAAATTTCCAGGTTCAGCATTGTAGTTTTAAATAATCATAGATTAAAGGAACACAGTAGAAAATAGAACACATTTTGATGAAAAATACAAATGTGACATAACAATGCCTATAAGAGTGAGTTAAAATCATAGCCTTAATTATATACAGCTAGACTAAACAAAGGTTAAATAGGCCGACACAGGGGGTTCAATCCCCAGTGTGTTATGCTGGCCCTGTCACCAAGGCGTGCTGAGGCGGAGATTGAGACTGCATGTGGTGGCATGCACCTATAATCCCAGTGCTTGGGAGGCTGAAAACAGGAGGATCTCTATGATTCCGATCTGTGTAGTGAGACCCTGTAGACCCTGTACTAAATACATTTTTAAAGAGTAATAAAAGTTTAGAAAATGCTTATATAAAATAACAATAATTGAAACAAAACTTTGAGCTTTAAGGTTTCTCACTGTTGGAAATGTTGATTGAAACTTTGAATCTCTTTCTAGAAATAGGATACAACAACCGTTATAGACTAACAAGTTCATGTAAATCAGTTTTGGCAAATCAGCCCCTTCTTGGAAATCAGATGTAGATTAAATAAAAATACTACCTAAAAAATAATTGCAATAGTGACAAACAGTAAACTCAAGAACATTTATAGGAATACAAAATATGGTGTGACCAAGGTAAAAACCACACTGTCTGGTATGTAATTAAAATTTACCGGGCATGGTGAAAAACATCTTACAATGTGGAGAAAATAAGCAGCCAGAAGTGACGTGGATAATAAGATTAATGTAGAAAAGAGCAAAGTTACAGCTATTTTATGAAGAAGCTGAAAGACACATTGAATATATGGGTGATATAAGAAACCCAAATCCTAGAGTCATCATTCACTGATGAAATGGTTGTTTATGCAGAAAACTGAAAAGATTGTATAGGTAAAGTATTAGAGCCTTTTAAAGCTTCTGTGTATAAGATCTTTTTAACAGGATCTTTTTATACAAGATCAGTGTTAATTTGTGGCATTTTTGGCTGTACTAGCTGCAGGCAGAAAATAAAGCTTGAAAGATAACATTTGTATTAGTGTTCAAAAACATCAAATACTCAGCCAGACGTGGTAGTGCAGGCCTGTAATCCTAGTTCTCTGGGAGGCTGAGGCAGAAGGATCTCAAATTTGATCCTTACTTGGGTGATATTTAGCAGTACTCTTACTTCAATAAATAAAATAAAAAGATCCAAAAATGCTAATATTAAATGAATGATAAATGCTATACTGAAAACTGTGAAAAATTACTAGGAGAAAACAAAAAGACATAGATAATTTTTATGTGGGAGACTGGCATAAAGAAGTCAGAAGTTCTGAAATTGATTTGCAGATTTAATACGATAAAACTGTAAGATATTTTTTGGGGGAAGATAGTGGTCTAGGAAATACCAAGCTGATCCTGAAATGTGAATGGGAATCCAAGTGTCCAATGATAATTGAAGAAAAAGATGAAAAGTAGAGGATTTATGCTTCCAAATAGTAAGACTAGCCAAAAGTGTGGTATAGTATTAGAGTAAGGATAGACAGATTCATACAACAGAATTAAGTGCTGTCTTTCAATAAATAATGGTTCTGAGAGCTAAATATAGGTGATAAAACAGTAAGTTTTAGTGGAAGAAAAGAATGAATTTTTCTAAAAATGCGAAGAAGAAAATAATGTTAAGAGCAGATATGAATTTAGGAAGCAAGAAAACCATATATTATACGATTCCATTTATAATTAGCTCAAAAGTAGAAAAACCAAGCAGCAGTGATAGAAATCCACGTAGCGATGACATGTGGACAGCAGTCATCTCTGAGTGCTGACTGGGAAGCGTGTGAGCAGGGACTGTGGAGTGCTGGTACTAGAGGCGTCAGTCTTATGCAAAGCTGGTCAGTCTGGACCTCTGGGTAGTTGAGACCTCTATAGAGAATCTGTGAGTCACAACTTTTCATAACAACATATGTTTTTGTATTTTCATTTTCACAGCTGTGGCAAGAATAGTGGTGTGTAAAACTGTTAATGTCTTAGCACTAATGAAGGCAACACTAACTGTGCTCAGCAGTTGTTGTATTCTTCACTGCCATGTACCCTAATATAAAAATTTGTTTTATTTATCTTTGGTAAAGCAGGAAAAAGTTTTATTAATTATAAACTTTGAGTACACATCTTTTTAGTATTCTGTGGAAGGATATGGGGATGATACACCACTTCTGGAGATTGAATTACATTTGTTACTTTAAGGAAAAGCATTTGCGTGATTGAATTGAAAGCTTAACTAGCTGCTGTGTTTAGGGGCCACTGGTGTATGTGAAAGAACAAGTGACAGTGATTATTTTGGGGATTGACAAATTTTTTTTGAAAATTAACCAAGGAAGCGGGGCTGGGGAGATGGCTCAGTAGAATAAGTGCTTGCCTAGCAAGCACAAGGGCCTGAGTTCAATCCCCGGTTCGGCCAAAAAACAAAAAAACCCAAAAGCTCCAAGGTAGCCTGTTGCTTCAAGGAAAACTATTTTTATTTTTTGTTTGTTTGTTTTTATTTTTAGTACAGGGTCTACAGGGTCTCACTACACAGATCAGACTCATAGTGATCCTCCTGTTTTCAGCCTCCCAAGCACTAGGATTACAGGCACATGCCACCATGCCCAGTCTCAGTTACCATCTCAGCAGGGCCGCAGGGCAAGGCAGGCACGCCAGGGATCAAACTCTGGTCCCTGAGACTGCCTAAGTAGGCACTTCGGTCTGCTCAGGTATCTGGTTGGCCCTCAAGGAAAACTATTGACATTATCTTTTTCTTGAGCTGTTAAGAAAAAAATATAATTATGGGAAACATATCCACTACAGTGAGACTGATAGCTTTCCAGTCTTTAGAAAGGTGTCTCTAAAGAGATTGGGGTAATGTTAACAAGTGTACAGTTTTTATGTTGTATGATAAAGTCATACATTTAGAACATCAACTTAGTAAATTAAAGATCTGTATAACTTAGTAAATCATTATTTTCTAGGTGACCCGTGCATGATGTTACAAAATTATGCATGGATATACGATCCATTCAAAGTATAAGGTAAAACACTTTAATGGAGCAGAGTATGAAAATTTATTGCCATGGTTCAGATTCCACATTACAGCTTACTTTCCAAAAATTGCCATTGTTATGATTTGATCCACTGTCAAAGAAGACCATCCACACTTACCTGAAAAGTCTATTGAAACATTTCTCCCTTTACCAGCTGTTTTTTCTGATCACCACTTAAACAACACATGCAACAGATTGAATGTGGAAGTAGAAGTGAGAACCTGTCCTCTGTTAAACCATACACTGAGGTTTACAAAACTGAAAAACAAGACCAGTCTTCCCATTTTATTTATTTTATGGAGGAAATAATTTTACATTAACATGTTGATTTTAAAAGAACTAATAAAAAATAAAGGACATGAATAAACAAAAAAAAGATTAAATACAAAAAAAATAAAAGAACTAATAGAAAATTTTTTTGAGTTTTAATTTCTAACATACCAGTTATTGATAGATGTATCAACATGAACAAAAGCTCCTGGACTCTAATTCTTAAAACTGAAAGGGGCCTGACATCAAATTTTAAGAATTGTTTCTCTGTACTTTAATTACATGGGTATGCCTGTTTTGCAATAAATAAAAGAATTTGTGTGTTTTGCTCATCAATACGAATGTTTAGCTTCCCTCTAAAGAAATTTAAGAGGAATTGTCTAAAGTGATGAAATTTCCAGCTTTAGTGACAGGTAATTGAGCATGGGCAAGAGAAAATGGCCAAGAAAGTGACCTTGAGATGCTTACAATTTGTTGATACTGTTTTATAGTTCTAAAAATTATTCCTAGGGGCCTGTACCATTGGTGGCAAACCTATAGTATGCTTTCTGCTGCAGGCTGTTTGCTGTCACTGAAATGTCTAAAAGGTTTGTCATTACTGAACTATACCCTTGATCTTCATGAAATTTACACTGGAAATTTTCACCAGAAAAGTCTTTGCCAGAGTTTTCTTTATTCCGTTATTTTTTTCTAACATTCCCTTAGAAATTACCTAAAGATTTATTTCTAGCTAAGGAGTGTAGTTTAAGACATACATGCCTAATTTTTCATGTATTCAACCTCACTTGGCAGATGTTAGTGAGCGTTGGTCACTATCCTGTTTTTAACACAGACAGAATCATAAATCAGTTGGTTACTAAATTCAGCAAATATTTATTAACTATACTATAAAGAAAACAGATTGTTTGCGATTATTGGGAACTCGGAGGTTAACATTCTAATGGTGGTTAAGAATTTGCTGTACATTAGTTAAACTATTAATATCAAATGTATTAACCACTTACTGGTCCAATTATTTAAGTACAGGATGACCAAAACTTACATTTATTTCTGTTAATTTTTGTAAGATTATATAACAAGAAATATACAAGTGACAATTTTATCAAATATATTCAGTATAAGAATTAACTGGTTAAAATGACACCAGCCTGAACAGTACTTGGGATAAACAAAAGCACTGCCCAAGTAATGTTCATTGTAATCTGTTAAGTGGTTAGTCTCATGAAAGTATGAACATTAATGTTAGTAATAGTATCTGATCAGAACCATGAAAGTAAGGTTAGTTTTCTGTTTAAAAAATAACTTTTTAGTTTCTAATTGAAATTTATGTTTGAGACAAACTAAACCACTGGGGGGGAAAAAAAAAAAGTGCACTGTCAATGGTGTAAGTCTACAAGAGTCCCCAGCCTCTTCCAGTTAACCATGTTCAACAGTTTCACATAATAGGCCTCCACATTTAATGTGTATATTTAGCATATTATTTCTAAAAGTTGGATCACTTATGTATGGTTTTCTCAGTATGTTGAAAGTTACATTTCCATTTAAGAATATAACAATTATCATTTTTAATCTATGTTTTATATGCTTTTGTGATGCCTAAAGTTTTGATAGAATAATTTTCTTAAAGCTTAAATAAAATAAATATACATTATAAAAATATTTAACAGTAAAAATCTATATAGTCTCTATTAACTACCTGATAAATTTGAATTTATATATTTCTATACAAGTATGTCCTTTAGTTTTGAGAATATTAAGAAAATTATTTCGTGTTGAATATGGATTAGGCTTTGAGGACATGGGATTTTGGGATAAACACCATCTGAAAGACCACTGTTTTTTTTTGTTTTGTTTTGTTTTGTTTTGTTTTGTTTTGTTTGATTTGGTTTTGAGTTTTGTTTTGGCAAGTAACATTTGTATTTGCATTTCTTTTATGCCTGATTTATTCCCGCACCATTTTTGTTTCTTCGGTTTCTTGTAGGATGTCTTGTTCTTCTTTGCAACTTCCTGTGGTTCAGGAATAATTTGTTCCTTTTTGGTGAGGGTCATCTCATGTGGCAGGGGGAGCTTGTGCATGGGTTAATCTGGCCATGAGCTCTGTAAATGTGGTGGCACTCTTGGGTACTTTGTCCACCTGGTTATGTTTGATCTCCATCTAAACCCCTAAGTTCAGCGTTACTGTGCATTTTTAAACATGAGGCCATTGATGTTTTGTCTTACTGCTATATGCTGTTTTGTTTTCATATAGTTTTTTTTATTTTAAAAAGGTACAACAGAATTTCATAACAATCATAGGAGAATGACAGTTAATATGTGGCATATTGTATCTTCAAACTACTCAGTACAAGATATAGGCATAAACAGTTCTCCAGTTGATATTGACGTGAGCCTTCCTTTTCAGTGAACTAAGAGATGCTAATAGTATAGCTGCCTTTTATTTTTTTCTCCCTTTTCCTTCCCCCTTTTCAGTTTCTTTTTCCTTTAAACAACTTTCCATTTCACAAAATCTGTTGTACATTCTAGGCCTTATTATTTGCACTTTTCGTTTCTCATACCAGGAAGATGATATGATATTTACACATAAGAGTCTTGATTTATTTCACTTCTGTGTTTTCAAGTTGCATTTATTTATTTATTTGTTTATTTATTGTGGAACCGGGGATTGAAATCAGGCCCTTGCCAGGCAAGCGCTTATTCTACTGAGCTATCTCCCCGGCACCTCCATTTACAGCCATAAAGTTTGTCCTTTATGGCTGAGCAGTCATATATAGTTGTTTTAAAAGTACTTGTTATTATAAGAACTATGTATTTAGTTACTACTTCTTTTTGATTCTAGGTAACATTGTACAATACTGATCAGGACGGTAGTGATAGCCCACGCAGTAGCCTTAACAACAGTCTCTCAGACCAGAGTTTGGCATCTGTTAATTTGAACAGCGTTGGAAGTGTGCATAGTTATACACCGGTAAGTCTTAGTGAAGTTTGCCTTTTGGTCAGATACTCATTTACTGCTTAAAACTAAAGCAAATATGGCTTAAGTCCACATTTTAAAATGAAGATTTATATTTCTCACTAGTCAATTTTTTCGTAGCACAGACTTCTACATTAACAGTGTTTTAATTTGATATTTATATTTTTACTTTAGTATAAATATACATTTGTGCTGTGTGTTATATATTTTGATGTACTTTATTCTGTGCTTATATAAAATCAACTATAGTAGGAAAAATTAGTGGACCCGTAGTTGATGATACTCTACACTTTTGGGGAAAAATAACTTAGAAGATGTGTGTACTAATTTTATCTTCCAGCTGTAGTTCTGAGAGAGGGATTCAGAGCCAAGCCAAAAAAATGACCCATGTAAGTGTTCTTGTTTCTGTGCTTATTTGTTACCTATTACAAGAACACAACCCTAGAGTTATCTGATAGCTTCTTTCCAGATCATCTGGCTGCTGTTCCTACCATTGGGCAGAGAACAGAGCCCTGTATTGTACACTGTTGTTCATCAGTATAAACTTGATCTCATGAGGTCACCTCCTGTTTTATCATGAGCATATAAAGGAGGAAAGTCAGACAAAAACACCAAAACACCCCACTGAACAAAAAGACAAAGGGAGAAATATATGACAAGAAAATAATGCAAAGGAAACAAAATTGTGACAGCAGAATTAAAATTTACATTGGGATGGTAGTGATGGACGCCTTGGACCGAGTTGTAAAGCCCGAAACAAAAAGAGCCAAGAGATTCCTTGAGAACAGAGAACCAAAACTTGGTGAAAATAATAAAAACGCCATGGGTGATTAAAGGGGAAATGCGAATGCAGCAGCACTTCAAGTCCTGAAAGATGAGGAAAATATTACAAGACCATTTGAAGATTAGACATCACTGGAATTCTTTTCAGGGAAGCCAGATTGTGCTTTATTCATGTTTGGATCCCATAATAAGAAGTGTCACAGTAACCTAGTAATAGGTTGTATGTATGACTACCACATGCTGGATATGATTGAATTAGGTATTAAGAAATTTGTGTCTCTAAAAGATACTAAGATTTCTTTAGAGGCCTCATGGTGGCAAATATCTGTCTGGTTGGGTTAAGTATGTTCTGCACTTCACTGTTCTGAAGGGGAAGGTTTATTTTCGCAGCTGTAAGTTGCTTTTGAAGAAATCTGGTTGCAGAACGCCATAAATTGAGTTGGAAGAGATGGGACCTTCATTGGACCTTGTTCTGAGGAGGACATACCTGGCTTCAGATGACCTTTATAAGTTATCTATGAAAATGCCAAGTCTTAAGCCAAAGAAGAAGAAAAATATGTCTCAGGATACTTTTGGTACAACTTACAAAAGGATTCATATGCAGAAACAAGACCTAGGCAAACTACAAACCAGGAAAATGAAAGGATTAAAGAAGTGACCTGCAGAAAAGCTAACATAAGGCCAGGAGAAAAAGTCAAAGAGAATTAAAAACAATAATAGAGCTTAACCAACAACTACAGTTTTATTGTACTCTATTTATTATAAGAATCATCAAGCTTCAATACAATTCCATTTCTTAAAAGAATTTATTGTATTCTTTTATAGCACTTAATACAGAATTTTGTAACAGTAAAAAAAAGTTTACATTGAATGTAGGAAGTAAGAAAATTGACTTGGCAAAACTGTAATCAGTGCTCTGGGGAAAGAAAATTTTCAGAATACGGAGGAAACAATTAAAATTAAAAGCACAGTAAACGGAGAACTGAGAATTACAGGTATCCCTACAGAAGAAAGTAGAAAAGTTGATAGACATGCAGCTTTTAGAAGAAACAGGTTAACAGTATTGTTGAGACCTAGAAAAAAATTAATGAGGAAAAAAACTATGTTTATATACATAGCAAATTTTAAAATATCTGAAGTAATCTACATGTACCTGGCAAAAGAAATGTTACATATAAAAATGCAAATTAGGTTTCTCTTTAGTCAGAAGATACAAGGACTAGATATGGAATAACAAATATTATACTCAGGCAAAGTGAAAGATTATCTTTGATATGCAGAAGTATCCTGCCCCTGTTTTCATGTGTCCTTGCTGAAAATGACAGTAATCCCTCAGTGAGGGATGGGTGTTAGGGCTCCTAGTAGATTAGAAAATTAAAGGATACTCAGGTCCCTTATGTAACTTACTCCTGTCCTTCCATATACTTTAAGTCATCTCTAGATTATGTAAGGCAATGTGAATATAATGGAATTTTTTTAGAGGGGAGGGGTATCATGGGGATCGAACTGAGGATCTTGTGCTTGCCAGTAGGCACGTAAGTTGCTGAGCTGTCTCCCCAGCTTGGAATAGTTGTTATACTGACAATTCTGTTTAGAGAATAATGACAAAGGGGAAAAGCTGGTATCTGTTCAATACAAATGCAGTCCCCTCCCAGTCCACACCCCTGAATATTCTATTTGTGTTTGGTTAAATTCATGAATGTTGAACCCATCGATACAGAGAGCCTACTCTGTTTAGTGAATTAAATATTCATTAATAAAGTCAATGACATAAAAAGAATTCTTGGAGCATTGATGTAAACTAAGCAAAGATTTAATGATTTAAGTTATTTTAAAAAATAATTATAATGCCAGGTATATAGCTCAGTGGTATAAGCATCTGCCTAGCAAGCACAAGGGCCAAAGTTTGATCCCTGGTACTGCCTAAAAAAATCTTGAGGCCAGTAGTATCAAAAAGAACATAATAAAAGGAAAAGTTAAAGGAGCATCTTAGAAGGAACTACCATCCCTTTTATGCCCGTCATAAGTAGGTCACACTTTACTGCTGAAAGCTAGACACTACAAACTGATATCACTTTAACAAGATGTCAAGTTCCTTTACACACCTATAATATTCAAATAACGGAACTTAGAAAAAAAGGTGTATACAGATGAATGTCCATTTTGTATCTGTGTATTCAAAGTGGTTGGGATAGATATATAGTTACATTCTCTTAATGAATAGAATGATTTGTTCTAATGGTATTTGTAAATGGGATCTCAAGTCCGCATCTTGTACAGCAATTAACCACTAAGAAGAATATATGCAGTGTGTTAATTATTGAAACTGTCCCATTGCTATCTGTTTATCATAATATTATAATATTTTATTATTTTCATAATAAAATTATGAAAAAAAAGATGTCAAGTTCTTAAGCAACAATGCAGTAGCTGGTGCTCGTTTGTCATATATCCTATAGATCGAGCCTGTAGAGAGAGTGAGTCCACAAGCAAGAAGACAGTTTTATTGCTTATGCAGACTAAATGTCTGAATTTGTGTAAGTGATATACAGGTACAGGATAAGCCAGATTAACATGGTGTCTGGCTGGGGATATAGCTCAGTGGTATTAGTGTCTGCCTGGAAAGTGCAAGGTCCTGAGTTGGATCCCTGGTACCAAAAGAAAAACAAAAACCATGGTGTCTGTTCTGTGGGTCCCATACAACAATGCCAAACTTCAAGATCCAAATGGCAGATTAAACAAGTAGTGAGTCACTTTGTAGTAGAAGAACAGATTCCAAACAGTAGTGTGACCAGCTGTATTCTTTCTGGGAGTAAACCCCAGAAAGTTCCATCCCTCACTGAACCAGGGAGTCAGATGAGAAGGGTGTATAAAAGCTTCTGCAGAGCTGCCTTATACAGGATAGGACAGAGAGACTTTGTTCTTCAGAAGACCACTAGCCATCTCATGTTCAGGATAACCCCAAGGCCTTCCACAAAGGTTTACGCCTCCTGCCATCAAGTCCTGCCTACATGGTCTGTGTGGTGCGGTGTAAGATCCACAGAAGTGCCGGGGGAAGCTTTTCCTCTACATAAAATTAGTGCTTTTTCCATGTTATTTGCAGACTTCTTATGAATATTATTTTAAAAGTCTTGTAAATTTTCAGTGAATGTTCAGACCTTAATCTTTCAGGCTTTAATTTTCAAAATACTAAACAAATGGTAATTTACCACTTTTTGGTATAATCTTTAAAAAATACAGCTGATCATCTTTTGCTAATTTTATTTCTAGTCATTTCTGCCTCCAAAGATAATTCTTTGGAGGTGTTTCCTTTTTCTCTGCATAGCTCAAGGCCTTGATCTCTTCTTTTTTCTTCAGGATCTTCTTCAGGTGTTTTCTTGTTACTATTACTTAGGGATAGAGTGGTCAACTCACTTAAGATTCTTTGAACTCTTTTCCCTTCTGAGGATATAGATGTTGGATTAGATTTCTATGGTTCCTCAAGATCCATGCTAATAATTTTATTTTCTGTATTTCTAAAGGCATACATACCTATCGAGCAGATGTCCAAAGATGGGTCCTTTTGGGTTCCGCTGTTGACACTGATGATTTCAATTACATATGACATGTAACTATTTGTTTTAGAGCTACTGGGTTATGCGTATTTTCTTTGTTAGGTGGCAAATCATCCAGAACCAGTCTCTCAGTCATTAACTCCTCAACAGCAGCCACAGTACAACCTTCAAGAACGAGACAAGCAACTACTTTTCTCAGAATATAATTTTGAAGATCTTAGTGCCTCATTTCGGAGCCTTTACAAGTCAGTTTTTGAGCAGTCACTTAGTCAGCAAGGTGAGTTTTAAAAAATCTTTTTACAACAAATTTTTACTGAAAAATATTCATTTAATTTTTTTCACACAGAAACTGTTATACTTCCTTAGTTTTAGGACATTATCATTCCGATCACAATTGGGTAATTAAGGGGTCGGGGAGATGGCTCAGTAGAATGAGGGCCTGAGTTCAATCCCTGGTTCCACCCAAAAGAAAAATTGGGTAATTAGTGTTTTATGGGTTTACTGTTATGCTCTGCATATTTACATCATAGCACATATGGAAGAGTGGCATATTTCCTCTTGCATTCCTACTTTGTGTTTACTAAAATTCTGGGAGCACTATGTTGAGAAATTCTGGTCCTGCTGTGTCACATGAAGAAGACTGCCATGGTTAACAGTGATAATTTGGCATGTAAAGTGTTTGAGTGGCATGCGTAGTGTTTGTACTATAAGACTAGATGGTCCAGCTTTTGTTGGTTCATGTTATGCAAAGAGAGCTATAGTAGCCCCAAGTTGGTGATTTTTGTATGTATCATAAAAGTGAACATACTAGCTAGTGATAAGCTCTGGTTGTTTTACACAATACATAAATTAGATTTTAATCCTACAAATGGATTTAATTGAAATGCAGTACTGTCAACCAAATGTTAGATTATTGCTGTAATGTGTTTTTGTCTCATTAGCTACTAGTTTAATTTTAGACATCCAGTGGGATCAAAAAATGCCATATTGCTTTTCTTTCACAGAACAGTCAGAAATTATTAGAAATTCTACCATTGAAGCATTTCCTAGTTAATTATATATCAGATTAACTATTTTTGCTCTATGTCTCATTCCTTTCCTGTTGTGATAGCAAAATAACCCAAGACTGGGAAATTTGTAAACAACAGAAATTTATTTCTGGAGACTGGGAAGTCTTAAGATTGACTGAATCTGAATACTGCATCTTTATAAGGCAGTAGAGATAGAAGGGCAAAGAACTAGCTAATTCCCTTGAGCCCTTTTACAAGGGTACTAATTCCTAATGAAATCCTAAAGCGTGCCCCCACCTTTCCCTTTTACAGTACTAGGAATTAAATCTAGGTTTTCATTTAATCTAAAAAAGCACTTTATTATAAGTCTATGTCCCCAGCACTTTTTGTTTTATTTTGAAATAAGCTCTTGCTAAGTTGTCCCTCCTAGCCTCACGTTTGCATTCCTCAGCCTCCTGAGTTGCTGGGATTACAGGTATGCACTGCTGTGCCTGCCAATCTGTGACTTGGGGGTTAAATTCTAATTACGAATTTTGAGGGAAGAATGCATTCAGCACACAGTACTGTAGTTCAGAGTTTGCCTGTTTATAGCAGTGAGCAATATAGACAAAAATTCATGTCATTTTACAGTTTATATGTTAATGCTTATCACTGTTATAATGAAAGTGAGCATTATATACCAGTGTGAGATACATAATTTATATATTGATAGCTTGTATATCAATATATACTTTTTCTAGTTAATATTTTTGAAGTAGGAGTCATGTTTCCTCAGATTGTATCTTAAACTTTTACATATGAATGTATAAAAAGAATTAATGGGAGTGTGAGTGTAGTTCAGTGGTACATTGCTAACTTAGTATGACCAGGCTCCTGGATTGACATCCTAGCACTGTCAAAATAAAATTAAAAAAAAAAATTAGAAGTTTTCTAAGCAACTCTGGCCTTTGTAACCATAATACAACACTGGCTTTTAAGAAACAGTGGTGACAATTTCTGAAGCCCACAGTTACATTTTGTCACACATATATATGTTCATGGTATATATCTAAAGTGTACCAATAAACTTAATTTTTAAAAAATAAAGTAGGTGTTTATAGTTTACACATTTAAAAAAAGGAACATTAACAACTTGATTCTGGTCCAGATTCTATAACTTTGCCTCTCTGGATCTCCATATCCTTATTTGTAAAATGACCACATTGGGCTAGATCATTGGTTTTCAAATTGTCCCCTTCAGAGCCCTGTGCTTTTGTAAGGGTCTCAGAGACTGAAGGAGGAAAAATATGCAAATGAGGAGGGAGATACTAGCAGGTTTCCTTCCCTCATTTGAAAGCTGCAGCTTTATCCATTTTACAGAGTATAAGCTTCTGAAAGAATATTTTGCTTTGTTTAGTTTTGTTTAGAAGTAATGGGGCCAGCCAAATAGCTCAGTGGATTAAAGTGTCTGCAAGCAGGCACAGGGGGTAGAGGTTCAATCCCACACACCTCACTACAAGTCCAATCTACTAGTGAGACCCTGAACACCCTGTAGACCCTTCCCTAAAATACAAAAAAAAAAAAAAAAAAAGGAATAGAGGCTAGGCCAAGCATGGTGGTGCATGCCAATAATCCCAGTACTCAGGAGAATGAGGCAGGAGGATTATTGTGAGTTTAAGACCAGCCTGACCTACTGAATGAGCTCAAGGCTAGCCTAACTGCATAGTGAGACTCTGTCTCAAAAAATTAATATAATAGAATATAGCAGCAAATTTCAATTTCAGATTGAAAATGTTGGGGCTGGGGAGACAGCGCAATGTCAGAAGTCTGGCAAGTTCAGGGTTCTGAGTTTGATCTGCAGTGCAAAGAAGAAAGATTGAAAATGGTGGTGTAGATTACTCATGATTTTTGGTTTTTGCTTAAATGATAGGGGTTTGATTTGGTTTTTGAGATAGGGTCTCATAAGCCTTAGACTGGCATTGAACTTGTAGTCCTTCTACCTTGGCAACCCAAACTGGGATTCTTGCTTCACTGTTAGGATTTTGTAGGTAACAGATAATAAAGGTATTGCTTTCTTTTGTCTTACTGTGATAATCCATTCCCTATAAATGAGTTTTCCAAGGCCAGTGCAAGAACAAATGTAAGGACAATTATATGAGTTAAAAAGTTTTACTCTTTGACACTGTCTTGTGTAAATTTTTTTTGAGCTAATAAAATCTTTCATGTTTGGTACACCAAAATAGTTTATGGACTATTCTTTGGAATATGAAAGTAGTTATATAATAGATATTATAAAGATTTGTTTTATTAACTACCTGCAAACCAAACATATATCATTAGATACTTCTGGACTAAACAACTGACCTTTACTGAGTTCTTCTTGTATTTGCCTTATGGCATCACAACAACTCTAAAGCAGAGTACTCTCCTGAAGCTCATTTACAAATTAGATAGTCGCAGCTTAGTGAGATTAGCTTTGCATAGTTAGAATGTTTAAGTGGCAGTGAGAGGCTTTAATTCCCTTCGTGGTACCAAAAGATATGCATTTTTAATGCATAAAATTATCCTTAAATTCCGTAAACCATGTTAGTGGTGCTTCCTATAATCCTAGCACTTATGGGAAGCTGAGGTAAGAGTAAAACAAGTTAAAACCAAGCCTAGGCAACAGTGATTTAGTGAGGCCTTGTGTCAAAATAAAAACTAAAAAGGCCTGGGGTTATAACTTAATGCACAGGGGCTGGGGAGATAGCTCAGTAGAATAAGCGCTTCCCTGGCAAGCGCGAGGGCCTGAGTTCAATCCCTGGTTCTGCCAAAAAAAAATAAATAACTCAATGCACAGGCTGTGGATTCAATTCTCAGTACAGCATTAAAAAAAAAAAAAAACAACTCCATAAGAGTGTTGAAGATAGTGGAGATGGCCATTTTGTTTTGTTCTGCTTAGTCTTAAGGGTTCAAGCCACTTGGGGTTTAAAGAGTTTTTTGAGGGCCGGCAAACTAGCTCAGCAGATTTAAGTGCCTGCTTGGTCAAGCGCAGGGTCTGGGGTTCCATCCTCGACACCACATGCTGCACCAGCCCCGCCCCCAGGCACTCTGAGCTAGCCACTGAGACCAGGCATGGTAACATACACCTGTAATTCCATTGCTGGGGAGGCTGAAAACAGGAGGATCACTGTAACTTTGTGCTGCGTAGTGAGACCCTGTACCAAATACATTAATTTTTTTTTTTTTTTTTTAACAGTCAGAGAGATTGGTAACAACTGGGTTTTATCAAATTTTTAGTCAAAAATTTGGGCTAAATACCTATAGGGAACCATATGGGTTGTAAATGCAACCCATCACCTTTTCCACTTTTTTTCTAATGTTTATTCAACTTTCTCAAGACTCAACATAGATATACTTGAAAACAGCTTCTCTGTATTTCTAGCTCCTCCATCCACTCCATAGCTAACAGGCAAGGAACAAAATTCTTATAGTCCTTTATATATTTTTTCTTTAGTATTTAGATTACTGGACATAATCTTATTAAGTGTCTGTCTCTTTCACTAGACTATGCACTGCTCTATAAATAATGTTTGCAAATGTTTGTTGTAAGATAACGGCGTAAATGTGACTACCAATGGTTTTGCTCTGATTTTAGGTTTGATGAACATCCCTTCTGAATCTTCTCAGCAGCCCCACACTTCATGTTCCTACCAGCACTCTCCTAGCAGCACAGTGAGCTCTCATCCACACAGCAACCAAAGTAGCCTGTCCAACAGTCATGGTAGTGGCCTCAATACTACAGGCAATAACTCGGTTGCACAAGTCCCTTTGTCCCATGCTCAGATGCACACACAGCCGTCTCCACACGCACCCCACCGGCCGCATGGTTTACCACCACATCCACAGCGTCCTCAGCACCCAGCCCCACACCCACAGCAACACAGCCAGCTCCAGTCACCTCCCCCGCAGCACCCCTCTCCACATCAGCACATACAGCATCATCCGAACCATCAGCATCAGACGCTAACACACCAGGCACCCCCACCTCCACAACAGGTATCCTGTAACTCTGGTAAGTTTCCATCTCCTGGCTTATGTATGGCTAAATGTGAACTAAATCTGTCCTTTGTTACTTGGCCCTTATGGGACATTTACTAGCACTACTCTTTTCACCTATCTTATTTTGTGTTTTCTTGCTATAATCCTTTGATTTTAACTTGCTTAATCTATAGGTTTGTCTAGAAAGTTTCTTGATCCAGTTTACTGTGGCAGCATAGGCTACCTCCACAATCCCTTGCAGGCTTTGATTTTAATGCTTTTACCATTTTGTCTTGACCATGGCTTCCAGTGAACATTGGAAAGGAGAATGGAATGCATGGTCTGTCTGCAGTGTCTTGTAATGCCTTCTGGTTATAAAGAAAGAGTAGGTTTATGCCAGAAAAATCTGTATTTGAAACCTCATTGTAGCTCTTGTGACCTTGGGCAAGTTACTTTTAGACTTGTTATTTTCTCATCTATAAAAGTAGAGTGGTAATGCAATATTGTTAGGAAGATATTACTGAGAATACAAATAGAAACTGTCTAGACCAAGTATTTTCATTTTGTATTCATGATTGTTGTCTCTCTTTTCTGCCATTCCGAGTATCTAATAGAATAATAGACTGCAAAGAAAGAAATGTGTTACTCTTAAGATATATTCTCATGGTTTCTGGCACTGCTCACAGGCCAGGCAGGCAGTTTTTGTACCATGCACATGATTACTGGTAAGTAGAGTTATGCAGAGTGCTGTCCTTTCCTAAGCTTTTCTGGATAACTACTTATCAACCATATCACTCCTGAGATTATCCTGGCAGAAAGATTTCTAAATACTAGACAGTGCTACATATTACTCATGGTTTAAAAATTAATCATTGTTCTGGTAGAAGTTCATGGTGCTTTGGTCGTACCTTAAGTCTGCAGCTGTGCTAATAATTTACATCTGTGAATTATATATTTCATATTGGTAAGATGGGACAGAGCAGGTAAAAAACAGAGAAGGTGAGCCGGGGAGATAGCTCACTGGCACAAGTGCCTGCCTGGCAAACACAAGGTTCTGAGTTTGATTCCCCATCTCTCTCTCTCTCTCTCTCTCTCTCTCTCTCTCTCTCTCTCTCTCACACACACACACACACACACACACAGCATGGAAGTTGTGGGTCTATTAGGTGCTATTAGGCAACTTAGATATATTGTCTCATATTGTCCTCCCAAGTCAAGTAGAGGTTACCACATTTTATAGATAGGAAAAACCTAAGTCAAGCAGTGTGTTCAAGCTCAACTACCTGTAAGTGGTGGAACGTGGTTTTATGTTTTGGTCTGACTTTGAAGCTTATAATGCTAGTTTTTCTAAAAGACTAATCAGCAGACCAAATGAGTAAGTTTTTTGAGTAGTTTGCTTATTACATCACTCTCTAGAGGTTGCTTTGTTATGGCTTACCAAGTCAGCGTGTATTAGAAGTGCCCTCCTCCCACCACCTCCAAGGAAAAAATTAGTTATGGCGAGTGCCCTAGTTCCTTGACATAATTTGCTTTCAGTGAGCCTTTGTGTTGTGTTGGCTTTTTGACTGTTGTGTTTACCTCAAGAGATCTGGATTCTAGTAATGCTTTGGCAATTTTATTATGAGAGTCACTTTAATTATAGAATTTATTTGAACTATGATTTTCTTATCTGTGAAGTTCTCCTGGACCAGAGGATCTGTGTTTCATAGATTTGAATGTTTATAGCTCATCAGTCTTTTCCCCCAACAGTCTCCCTAGATTGCAAATTCTTTTTTATTTTTATTTATTTATTTATTTTTGTGTGTGGTACCGGGGATTGAACTCAGGACCCTGCATTTGCCAGGCAAACACTTATTCTACTGAGCTGTCTCCCCAGGCCCTGAATTTTCTTGAGGTCAGGGTTATGTTATTTCTAGGTGTGATTCATTGTTGATTTTTAAAATCAATAATTGGTAAAATTTTGCAAGTCAAATAGCCGTTAGTAGATATAAATGATTTGCTTATAAGATAGGAAAGGGGTACTTTTTATTAGTTTTTACTTTCATCCATCGAAGAATGATACCAATATTGGCAGAATTACTTGGCAGCAGTCATTGAAAGAATGTTGTTTCTTCTCTTCAGCACTGTCTCTTTGAAGGCATTTCTTTGCCTTGTGGCCCCTAACTGGTGACCCCTTGGTTGACATACACAGTGAAGTCTTAAATTCTTCTGATTCCATCACATTAGGAGATACCATTCCTGACCAAGATTGACTAACATTTTTCACAGAATTCTCAGTTCTCTCTTTTACTACCTTGTCAAAAGGTGCCTTATGTTAAAACATTTCTCTCTTAAATTGCCTTGTAAGAAGAATCTACTCTTTCTGTAAGATCTAATCTTATCTCATTTAAGTCAGTGTATTCCTTTTTTGTCACTTCTAAATGTAGGCTAGGCTTTCCTGTGTAAGTAATGGTGAGCATATCTATTAAAGTCATAATAAGAAAGAAAAATGAAACTGTAAATAGGAGAAATACTAATATGTGTGAATTTTTCCTGCCTGGTCATGTTTTTTTGCATTGTACAAATGAAAAGACTCTCACCATGTTTTACATTATAAAGTGATATAGCAGTTTGCAAGCCACAGACTAGAAGGTAGAATAAGACCTCTGTTCAAGTGAAAACCTTGTTAAATTATGCACCTCTTGGTTCAGTTCTTTCATTTGACAAGTGGAGAGAAATAATATCCATCCTGCTGATTTCAAAGAGCAGATTTTCCCCATACCTGATGTAAAGGGCACAAGTTCCTTAAGATGGCAGGGATCAGCCAATGTAAGGAATAAGGTCAAGTTATTGTTGTCCCTTAACAAGTTCCTTAAACTTGCACTAAGAATTTAAGTATTGTTAATATTATGTTACAGGTGTTTCAAATGATTGGTATGCCACACTTGATATGCTAAAAGAAAGCTGTAGAATTGCCAGCAGTGTTAATTGGTCAGATGTAGACCTTTCCCAATTCCAAGGTAAGTCATTAGTTCTTTTTTTTTTTTTTTTTTTAAATTGGTTCTTTTTGACTTACAATGAAATACACTTTGATTCCCAGTAACCCCACCCCAAAAAAGTCTTTCCAGTACACAGTCCTGTTGCTTTAGAAGATTGTAAGTTTCTTTGTAGTAGAATAAACACTTCCTCATACAGAGGCAATTCTTCTACAGTTGGTAATAATCTTTAAAAAAAACATTGTAAAACTCAAATATTTTGACCAGTTGGTGTATTTGTCTGATCACAGACAAAGAGTTCTGAAACAAATTTTGTCATACTTATAAATATTGGGCTTTGAATCTTGAAATATTTTTTGTTGTATAGATAAATCATTGCCATTATATGAAATAGGCCAGTGGAAATTTTAATGGCTGAAAAAGATTATGCCTTGCTATTTTTCTTGCAGGTTTTGCAGAACTGTACTAACTTTTTCAAATGCTTTCCTTATAGGTCTGATGGAGAGTATGAGACAGGCAGATCTCAAGAATTGGTCTTTAGATCAGGTTCAGTTTGCTGATCTCTGTTCTTCCCTTAATCAATTCTTTACACAAACTGGCCTTATCCACTCACAGAGTAATGTTCAGCAAAATGTTTGTCATGGTGCCATGCATCCAACAAAATCTTCCCAACACATTGGAACAGGTAAGGCCTGAGGTGCCTTGTTCTTCTTTCTCATTTATATGAAATTCATTAATTGTTTTATGCAGTTTGGTATGTTGATGGTACTGACAGTGATTCATTTACATCTTTTGATTCGAAAGAAATGAATGGAACAAACTTATATTTATCTTACAAAAATAGAGGTAAAAAGACTGTCTTTTTCTGTTGTGATTTACTGTGGTAATTTTCTTTGTGTTCTTTAGCCTTTTTTTTTTTTTTTTTTGGGCGGAACCAGGGATTGAACTCAGGCCTTTCTGCTTGCCAGGGAAGAACTTACTCCACTGAGCCATTTTCCCAGCCCCCTAGCCTTGTATTCTTATCAGCAAATGTGTTAAAGATACTTTGAAGAGCATAGTTGTAAATTTGTATCAATTTATTTATTTACTATTATTATTATTATTTTTTTTTTGTGTGTGTGTGTGTGTGAAACAATATTGAACTCAGACCCTTGCACTTGCCAGGGAAGCACTTATTCTAGTGAGCCATCTCCCCGGCCCATCAATTTAAAGTTATATAAATTTGTGATGAAAATCAGAATGTGTTTATGTCTTCTAAGAATGTTAAATAAAAGAAAGTTTAAAGTTCACTGGAAGAGTAGATAGAATGGCAAGTTCTCACTATTCAGGTTCTATAATGAAAACATGGAAAAAATGAGAATTCGTGACAATTTTATATGAAAATATAAGTATTGTGAATGTGGCAAAATTTTAGAAAGTTGGGTATCTTTAAAGAAGATGTCCTTTTACTTATATAATTTCTTTGATTTCTACTCTTCTATCTTTAAAATCAGAATTACTAAGTCAATAAAAAGAGAAAGGAAAAAACTCAAAAAGCAGTTTTGTCTTAAGGTTATATAGAAAGAAAATTAAGATTGTTAAAGACAGAGTCTAGGAAGTTGACTTTATTCTGGGCTTTAACCTTAAGATGTCATTTTCTTGTGACATGGCTAAATTGTTACCATAATATGAAATGAGCCAATGGAAATTGTGATGTTTGAAAAAAATTGTGTCTTACTATTGTAAATGAGTGACTGGCCATATTATTCAAAGTGGTCTGGCCTTCCCAGCATGTTGGTGTTTTTGGAAAATGCACTAGACAGGTATCTAATGACTGATCTGCATGTGGGGAAAGGGATGCCCTCTTGCCAAGAATGTTAGACCTGTACCTTAAGTTTTCTCCTAAGTCCATCAAATATGGACACTTAAACTATATTATAAAAGGCATATTGTTTGGGAGGCAGTGACAGGGGTCAGAAGTTTGGGATTCTTTTTGTAGTTCTGTTTTACTTCCTCTCTTTACCTGTTTCTGCAGCTATATGAACAGATGCAGGATTAGTTTAGGTTGTCTCAGGATCTGTCTTAAGCCTGGACACAGATCTAGCCTTCCAGTGATAGGTGAAAATGTATAAGAAGTGAAATTCAGTGTGCCTTACAGTGAAAGGGAAGATTTCTCATTTTATTTATTTTATTTATTTATTTAGGAACCGGGGATTGAACTAAGACCCTTGCACTTGCCAGGGAAGCGCTTATTCCACTGAGCCATCTCCCTGGCCCTCCTTTTAAATTTTTTGTGGGAAGTATGTTTTGTTTGTTTTACTACAGCATTCCTATAATTGAAATTTACATATTTGTGTGAAATGTAGAAACTTTTAGAAAAGGAACTTTCTAAAATTCTAGATGTTCCTTATAGTTTTATGGCCCTTCTTCCTATGGGTTATTGGAGGAGGGCTTTTGATTTTTTCCTGACCCTATTTTGCTTTATATCAGTGTAACATATTTTGGAGCTGTTATATTTGATGACTTTTGTCAGTGAAAATACATTAAAAACATTATGAAATACCATTTGAATGAGATCTGTGTTTTCCTATCTACATATTCCATAAATAACACAATATTAGTCATTTTTGCTTGGTGTAGCACTTCTTGCAGATCTTTACTGTTACTTTGTGTCTACCATTCTCGTGGTTAATCTCCTAAAACACACACAATTGAGCTGCTTTAGGGGTAAGAAAATTAGAGCAATAGAGAAATAGGAAGTAATAGAAAGCATGAGTTAGGACAGTAATAGTGAACTTTTTTTAAAAACTTTTGGTGATACAGTCTGCTGCAGCACGTGTGCCATATGTTCACCACCACTGAGTTATGGTATCTGAATTCTGCTCTTAGCCTGTCCAGTTCATGTATCTTTAAGCAAGTCATGTCAGCCATTCTGAGCTTCAGTTGCTTCATCTTTAGAATAGAGAAAACACTTCTTGTCTTGTCTCTTTTGGACCTAATGGGAGGGTCATATGAACACAAAAATATTTTGAACTGTGTTACAGTGAGGTATGTGACAGCAGCAGTTGGATATAACTTACAGAGTTAGGACAGCACTGGAATTAGTAGCAGTATACTCACATCCAGTTTGGCATCCTGTTCAAAAGGCCAGCCCCACCTTTTGGGAGAGATTTAGCATCTGAAAGGAGTAATACTTTTCCTTCTCCCTCCTCACTTTAATCCTATAGTTTAGTTTTAGGCAATAATTCCTGTAAGATTTTAATATTTGATTTATTTTATTTATGGTAACACATTTCCTCTCTTTCTGCTTTTTAATCTGATTAGGAAATTTGTACATAGACTCCAGGCAAAATCTCCCTCCTTCAGTGATGCCACCCCCTGGTTATCCTCATATCCCACAGCCACTTAGCACCGCAGGAACAACGATGGCAGGTAATATGTGTGTGCCTGTGTATGAGGAGGGTGCATGTGTAGAGGTTGGCATCAGAGCTTAATATTGAAAACTGTGAACTGTCCCAACCATGAATGAAACAGCTTTGGGAAGGAATGAAGTCTCTTTGGAGAAGCTGGAGTGTAGAGCATATTTGAGAATATTTGACTTTGACAGGACTTTAGCAGGCTTAAAGAGCACAGCTTGATTAACTAGTGTGGATTCTGTTCCATTCATCCCAATGGAGTTTCCCCAGCTGTAGTTTCCAGGGAAGCTTCTTATAAAGGAGGTAAGTGTTAGGAGTTGCCAGGACTAGTTCATAAACCTTTTTCCCCTCAAGGTTCCCCAATGCTACATTTAGCCAGAAGACCCTGGGGTATATAGTTAGAGCTTGAAGGGATCTTAAGGATCACCTAGAAAATGACATGGAATCTCAGAAGGGATGTGCTTGTCCAGGCCACCTAGTTTATGAATGGCCAAACGAAGACTCAAGACCTGATGTATATATATCTGGGTACCTTGGCCCATCCCTGTAATCTTAGCTCTCAGGAAGCTGAGGCAAGAGGATCTCTACAAGTTTAAGGCCAGCCTCAGCTACATAATTCAAGGCCAGCCTGCACTAAATACTAATATCCTATCTCAAAAAAGAAAGACGAAAGACCTGATATCTACATGCAGTGTCATTTTTCTTATGTATGCACTACCATTTACTGGACTGTCAGAGGAAAAGACAAAAGGTAATTGGAGTGTGTGTGTGTGTGGGGGGGGAGGGTGTGTGTGTATGTGTGTGAAAACCTTGAAATAATTGTGTGATAGGCAGTGGTAGTGAAGAAAGAGTTGGAACCAAGAGGTGTGTCCTTTGAGAAGGAAGGCTCGTTAGCTGTTGTTAAGTACTCGCTAGCCTACTAATACGTGAGAAGGATGATCTGGTAGTTCAGGCTCTAGAGCCAGATTGTCAGGGTTTGAGCTGTGAGATTGAGCAAGTTACCTAACTTTCCTAACCCAGCTTTTTTGTTGAGAAAAGGAGGGCTGGGAGCGCTACAAGCTTCTGTGGTGGTTAGTTACTAGTATTAAATGATGGTTATGTGGGAACCATGTAAGTTAACACCTTGATAACACAGTAAGGAAGTTATAAGTTTTTGTTAAATAAAGAATAGACATTTGTGCTATTACTGCAATATACTGAAAGCCTCAGTGTTTTATAAAATTGTACATAAAAATGTAGGATTTAATGAACAAAAGTAAAATTGAGACTGCTTGAAATTTTGTAATTGGAATACTAACCAAAATGATGATAATCCAGTAAAAACTCTGCAACAGTTAAAAAGATATCCTTATCCATCTCTACTTTAAAAATAATGACATTGATTTAGGCGGGGGTCTATCATGATGTGGATACAAGGGCAACATTCACTGAAATTGGGTGAAGGAAGAAGACCCGAGTGATTCATTGAGCGGCTATCAGGGGCTCTGCTGTTTGCCATTGTGTACTGCAGTCTTGGTGTTCACCTGCTCACTTACTTGGTGGCCCAAAAATTAGTTGCTGGCAAAATTTAGTCTGACCTAATCCGATTTCAGTGGCATGTTGACATTATTCTCCTATTTAGAATTATGTGTACCAATTTATGTTACCAGAACACATTAGACCAGAACAAACTGTAAGAGAAATGCCTGCATCAGCACTTTCTTGTACTTCCTCGCTACAGCCTACTATAATGGCGAGAACATGAGTTTTAGAGTCCAGTAAACTAATGTCACATCTGTCTCTTTATCTGACTTGGAATAACAAGCTCATTTTGCTAAGCTGCATGTCCCCCCTTATCGTATAAAATAAAGATCATAATAGTTGTTTTTGTTAAAAGCTTTTAGATGGACTGTTAACATAATGAGTGCTGTATATGTGGCACACAGGAGATGCTCATTAAGGTTCACTTGATTCTTTCTTTTCTACCTAAGCCTCTACTGATCTTGTCTTCTCCCTTCTAGGCCATCACGGAACCATGAACCAGCAGCACATGATGCCTTCCCAAGCCTTCCAGATGCGGCGCTCCCTGCCCCCAGATGACATCCAGGATGACTTTGATTGGGATTCAATTGTGTAGGGTTTGTTTCTGTAAACCCTCAGGCCCCAGAGTCTCTGCAGTGAAGGGAAAAGGTTTAAAAGAATCCAGTTGAGAAAATGAGATTCCTGATCATTTACCAATGTTATCAAAAATTCTTTTGAAGACAATCAAAACGATTTTAGCTGGATAACTTAATTGCTTTTATCTGACCCAAACAAGTACTACATGTTTGTCTCCCTGCCAACTGCCCTATGTAGCTCCTAACTGTTGTGTGATTTGGACAGCTTTTTGCATATTTGTGTCAGTTTGATGTTAACCACAAGTGCCAGACTGATTTTTCAGACAGAGCCTATTTTGCTGCAAGCAGTTTATAGATACATATGTGTAAATACATGTACAAAAATTACTGAAAGGCTTCAGTTTTTCTAATTGGATTATTATGTATTGAGAGGAAAGTTGCTGTCAGTTTTTATTCCTTGTTAGGCTATTTTCTGAAGGATGCTTTTAATTAAGGTAGGGAACTGAAAGGAAATAGATTTCTTCAAAGCTCAGTTTCCCTTATTTAATCTTTTTCAGAAATGTGAGCATTAACAATTTCTATTTAGTAAATCAAGAAACCAAGAGCTTGGTGCTCTCCAAATAATCCAGAGGGGCATGTTGTTCCTGAACAGCAGAAAGAACTGACCAAAATTGTTTTAATGTTGGGGGAGTAGAGAGTATACGTTGTACCTTGTTGATGTCTGTTTCCTAAGTCTGCATTGTAAGAGTTCTGAAATTTGATTAGAAGCAAGCCTTTACTTGGGTCTTTAAGCAAATCAATGCCTCCACATTATATATTTATTATTCAGGAGTGTTTTTTTTTAATATTTATTGCCACCTTTGTGATTGGATTTGCTAAAGGGAAATGTAGTGTTTGAAAGCACAGAATTATTTTTATTGCTGAGAGTTTACAGATGAGACAATCAGAGGGACATTTGTCATTTTCTAACACCACTCCTTTGCCAAGTAAGTACATTTCTTTATCTTAGCATTCCTGCTGCTTTAGATTTAATAGATAAAATAAATTGAACTTTTTTGGAATTTGAATGAAGAGTCCATTTGGTCAAGAGAACAACAAGGCAGGGTTTATAAAGAAAGTTTCCCCATCTGTTTTCTTTCTGTTTAGGAAGCATCGACAGGAGGTAGGGCTACAAATATTTGCCTCAATATTTAGTGTAGTTGTAAAGTGGCCTGCTGTTGCTATGTCCTGTGTGCACCTAAAATTTGGTCACTTTCTTTGAAAGGAAGCTCTTTTAGGGGTTTTTAACTGTTCTGTTTCATGTCTTTTCTCAGTTCCTTTGCATGGATTGTCTGTGTTTTATAATGGAGCTGGAAGAAATAGGATTTTTTCCTTCATGAATAGGTTTTGAATTGATTCTTAGGACACCCCTCTCCCCCCATCCTTTCAATTTTAAAGGGTTCCATCAATTTGAGGAATATCTACTTACTATTTGCTGTTTAGCATCTCTGGTCTCCATCAGCCATGTTAAATCACTTTAATTAGCCTTAGTGATTCTTTGATTGAGTAATCTCTACTTCTCTGTATATGTATATTTGAGAGAGGAAGGAGGGAGGAGGAGAGAGAGTAACATAGGATTTTTTTGTTTTGTTTTGTTTTGTTTTTGTTTAACGGAGTTTTGCCTTCCATGAATCACTGGGAAGGCAGCCATGCTAAGGGCTGGTGAGCTTGGAGAAGAAGGGAGAGCTTTGTGTTTCTCTGTTGTTTGGACGCTGCTTGGCATGGAAAAGGAAGCTCAATTTCAGACCCTTGGATCAGTGAATATCAGAGGATTCTGGAAAGGCAACCAACAGGCCCTTCTTAGAAGGATCAAGGCAGGAGGAGATTACAGCCTACAGAGTAAAAGCTTGAAAAAGGGGATGATTTTCAGTAGTCTACTTGAATCACTGTTTTCTAGGCACCAAAATAGCATTGAAATCTTCTGAATTGCTTGGATAGCAATGTGCACTTTAAATAATTTGGGTATTGGAATGTAGCCTCTTAAACTAAAGGATTTAGGTAAAACCACTGACTATAATTTTACAAATTATGTCAAGCAAATTTCCCATTTGGCAATGATTTACTAATTTTCAGTGGTCTATATTTCTATGAGTATTTAAACTTACCAAGAATGGCCCTGGAGGCAGTCTTCACCCATACCTGCCCCGCTCTCCTGTGATCCAGGTGGCCCAGGGGCTGTGGGGCCTGACAGGGCTTCCTGGTGAGGTCCAGTGTCCCTCTAGTGGCCATTTCTGTTGGTAATTACTAACGCAGAGTACATTCTGTCTTGGGCTTAAATTAAAGACTTGGGGAAACATTAATAAATGCCTGTAATCAAACAGGGACACTCTGTCCAGGAGAATAATCCGACTGGCATTTGTGGCAGTTTTTGAAATGTAAATGTATTCACGTGTGTTCTTGTAAATATGTGTCTCTCAAATGTCCTTTGAAGTGGGAGGGAATCAATCTGGGGATAATTTCAAATGGAATAGAGTATTTTGATATTGTTCATTCAGAGGGTGATGTGTACATATCTATATTGTATATATGTGATGAAAATGCATTGGCTTTTTGTGCAGACACAACCTGCTTTCTGTACTGATGTTGGACAGTCAGTGTTTTAATGTTTCTACAGTTTTGCTATTGCACGATTTCATATTCTGCCTCTATGATGAACGACACCCATTCTTTGTAACTGTTTAGTGCTGTAAAGAAATATCCCAAGTGTCATTAGGATTGTTGCTGCCAGAACTGATATGCATGAATGGCACTTAAAATAAATATATTATGTTAACTCTATTACAGTATTGATTGTTCTTTGTCATTCATGTATCTGAATAAGACTGGTCCAAACACAAAAACCTCATAGCCAGGCCCCAGAGCTGTTGGGGTATTTACAGTTGTGTCCCAGTACATTCCTGCCTCGGAACAGTGCTTGCTGGCATTCATTGACCATCTCACCAGCTATGTGAAATTGAGGGAATTATTTAATCTCTGAACCTCATTTTCCTCATTTATAATGTCATTATAAAATGAGGATAATACCTGCCTCCTAGAAGGTGGGATGTGGTTACAGTTAAACATTTAGAACAGCACTGGAGCACAAAACCTGCTGGAGGTATTTGTGTTACCACTAAGAACAGCTCAGATTGAGATACAGTGACTTATGTAGATTCTTTAGTTGGCAAATGACAGCTGAGATTTGAATCCAGGTATCATGTTCTTTTACAGAGTCCAGTCATCCTAAGTAAACTCATCTTGCCTGAATCTTCGTGCCTCAGTCTTGTTCCTGCATTGCCTTCCCAGAGAGCTATTTCCAAAAGGTGGCAGTGGAATTGTTTTGTTCTTGCTTTTTTATTTTGCTGAGCAGATATTTTGTGGCAGCCTTCTTGTGACAAACCCAGAAATGAAGCCACAGTTCTACCTTGAGGGAGCCCTGACTTGCCTGGTGTAGTGAGCAAATGCCACCCCAGGGAAACTGGCTTGGGAGGCACTTCTGACATGGCAGGGTTCTGGGAATGAGGGTTCAATCCTGCTGAGGATGGGGATATGGCACTGGTTGAGGAAAGCCTTCTGGTGTAATGGGCTATTTAAATGAAATCTTTAAATGTTCTGAGACACTGGGAGAAAACATTTCTGTTGACATCACTCCATTGAGCCCTGTGAGAGCTGCATTAGCATGGTGACTGAGGGATAACTGGTAGGAGGACCAAGTGCCAGGCAGGCACGGCCATTCTATGAAGGTGGTGGTTTCCTGACTTTATTGATGTTTAAGCAGGCTCAGAGAGGTCAGTCGCACTGAAGGAGACAGAATTGAAACTTAGTATGTCTCACATAAGTAGGGAGCTCTCGCCAGTCCCACAGTCTACCCAAGGCTTCTGGCTCTGCTAATTTAACTTAGGCAACACTATCAAAAACATTAGTGTACTGAAGTTTTACAGATAAAAAACTGAGGCTTGGAAAGGTTAACTTTCTAAGTTCTCATAGACGGTAGCAAAGCCAGAATCATGAATTCCAGGCCTTACTCCAAAGCTCATTTCCTTTATTTCCACTGCATTTTTTTCTCCCTCCCTTTCTTCCTTCTTCCCTTCTGCCCCTCTCCCTTTCCTTTCTTGCTTTCCTTTTCCTGCCTTGTCTGAGAGAGGGTTTTATTATGCAGTTCAGGCTTGCCTTGAACTCACTTTGTTGCCCAGGTTGGTCTTGAACTCACATCAGTCCTGCCTCATCCTCCCAGGTGCTGGGATTACAATTGTGTATCACTATACCTGGCATACCTCCACTGCTTTCTACAAGTATCATTCTTTCTCAAAGCCAGGGATAGTGACTATTCACCCAGGTGTGTGTTTTTGTATTTGTCCCTTGGAAGGTGGGCTGTGCTTCGCTCCCATCACAGATATGTCTGGTAATTGAAGAGCTGTGGTAGATGGCGTAGTTAAATCTGGTCACCCTGGTTGGAGAGCACATCTCCTGATGGAGTGAAATAGTAAACAAGATCCTTAAACTGCATGTTTAGTTTCAGAGGTGTCAACATGTAACTCTGCAAAGGGCTGTTCTTCATAGATGTGACTCTTACTAGTTGGGTAAAGCAGCCCTGGAGATAAGCACCTAAGTAGAAGTTTGTGTTCATGGGAGGATTTTCAGCATGTAATTGCCTGAGGATCACAGAGCCTTCCTGAAAGCTTCAGTTTTGAAGCGGCCTTTGTTGTTGAGAATGGTGAAGCCCGGAGACCATAGTGGCTTACTTCCTCAGAGTCACACAGCTGGTTAGGGAAAATTTGGAAAAGAATGGAAAAAATCATTTTTACCTGGCAGCCATTTACAATCCTGTGCACACTGTTCTTTTACCATAAGCTGATGATGTAGTGGTGTTGTCCCATTTTACCAAAGAGGATATAGCTTTGGAGAGGTGAGCCACAGTGGAGTTGTATCATGAATACAAAGCATACAGATTCAGTTTTATATACAGTACTTTGTCAAAAAGAGAAAGGAAAATTTTAAATAAAGGGCCAGGGAGATGGATCAGTAGAATAAGTGCTTGCCTGGCAAACTCAGGGCCTGAGTTCAATACCTGGTTCCGCAAAAAAAAAAAAAAAAAAAAAAAAAAAAAAAAAAAAAAATTAATGTTATAGTGCAGTGTCCTCAGGATGGACATGTGCCCCTTGTGTGAGATGGTGGATTGACATCTGAGATTGTCACTGATACTTGCTTCTGTATAGTTCCATGTGAGCATGTCACTCCTGCACGTGCGCCCAGTGGCTGAGGAGACCCATCTTACACATTGCCCTTGAGTGCAAACAAGCTGCTGCATTTGGCACTGAGAGACAGGCTGCAACTAGAAAACTGGCCACAGAAGGCTAAGATGTGGTTTCCCTCATTGGCGCCTTCTAGAGAATGTGAGGAGTGATTTTTAATACCACTCCCCACAGCATAATGTGGCAAGTCAGCAAGCACCAAGTACTGACCACGCCAAGACTAGAGTTGAGCCCCAAGTGGGGGGTGTGTCCAACTTCTGCCTTTCAAGAGGTGCTCTAAACAACATGGACCCCAGATGTGCAGTGGGTGTTGATATTTTTTATCCCACATAGTTGATGCAAGTAATATTTACTCTTCACAACTGAACTGCATGCTGATACCATGACTTGTACTGCTACTGCCAGCCTCTCCTTACAAATGAAGACAAATGAAGACAGAGCCACAAGCGGTCATTCATCCAGAGTCATCTGGCTGGTAAGTCACCATAGTAGTATTAGCGGGAGAGCTGGAATTTCAAATCTAGGCTGCACAGCTCCTGCATCCTTCACCAGCATAATGCTGTCTCCCGTGTTTGGCCTTGCTCCCTCTTCACTGGCTGCTGTGAGCACCTGTGGCCACTAGAGGGCAGGTTTGCTAACTGTGTGCCCTTCTGTGGAAGATTCTCTTACCTCAGGGCCGTCCTCCCTTCCTCTGCTGCGCTCAGGGTGGAGTGCTCATAAAGAAAAAGACCCCAGGAGCCAGCCTTCGGTGTCTGTGTATGCCTGCCCCTTTCCAGGGCTTTGGCTAGTTGGAGGAAACCAAGGAGCCCTGTAGTTGATGCTGAATGTTGGGCCCAGCCGTCCTGATGCTTATTGCTCCTTGACTCCAAGGTTCAAGTCAGCAGAGGTTGCCCCACTGGCAGTCCCAAACTCGGAGCCCCCTGAAGCTCTGCTCCTCTTCTGCCACTGGCTGACATGGCGCTCACAGGTCTGCATGTGTGGTATGGTGTGGGCCAGCCACACATGTGTTGTCACTGCTGCTGAGCCAAAGGAGTAGGCCTTAGGGCAGTGATGGCAAACCCGTGGCATGTGTGCCACAGCAGACTGTCTGTATCATTGAAAGCTCTAAAAGGTTTGCTGTCACTGCCTTAGTGTCTGCGCGCGCGCGCACACACACACACACACACACACACACACACACACGCAGGCGTGCGCCAGCTCCTATGGTTGTCACAAACATTATGATTATTGCCACTATTTGCCAGGCTCCTGCCTGGCACTTGACAGCCATTATCTGAGCTAGCACTCCCAACTGCCTTGTGAGGTTGGTCATTATCTGCCTTTTACTGCGGGGGATTGCCACCCAGAGGGGTGAGGTACTTTGCCCCAAGGTCACTGCCTGGGTGAGGGAGAGGTTAGGAGCCCAGATCCGCCTTCCTGTGGTCTGCTCTTCCCACAGAGGCCTCTCCACAGTACTCTCCGGGTGCCCTTGACTTCCTTTGTCACCCCACCCATCGTATACTCCCCCAGAGTCAGCTGACATCACTGGATGAATGGCACCTGTCTTCATTAGAGTCCCCAAAAGATAAGAGAGATAACTTCCTGCCTCAGCAATAAAGATGCCAGAGGACACTTGCACCTTCTCCATGATGTCAGCGGGCAGAGGCATGAGAGCATGTGCTTCCATGAGCCCTGTGGCCATGAAGCTGTGTGAGGGAGACCTTGTGGGTGCTCATGAATGGGTGGTCAAGCTGATGGTTGATAGTGCAGCCTGTGTAACTGTGCCTGGCACTCTGTGTGTCACTATGTGCCCATAAGCTGTGGACAGGACACAGCTGGCTTCTCATTTAGAGGTATATTAACCTCTTCCTCTTCCAAGGTCACCTACCTTTAAGACGTTTGCCTGGGATCAAGCTGGGTTCCAGGCACTGTTAGGCACTGCAACCCATACCTGTTCCTGCCTCCAGGCAGCCCCTCTGCCCTGGTCCAACCAGGCTTCCTTACTCACCCCCACCCCCAGGACCTGGTCTGTTATGCCACTCAGCCTTAGTGCATTCCCTGCATGTTCCAAGGCCGGCACAGTACTTGAGACAATACAAAGAATATAGACTTTGGGTCAGAAAGACCTAGAACCCCACTTTCTCTCTTCAGTCTGCTGCCAAGTTACCAAGACCAGTTGACCCTCCTGCCCCACGGTCTTTTCCCCTCCCCTCAACTCACCAGCCCTGTCTGCTCTTAGTACCTCTGCCACATGGTGTTCGTGCCACAGCCCTGTTACAGTCTTCTTCTGCTCTGAACACCCATGGCTTCCCACTGTCACCAGGTTAGGACCAAAGTCAGAGTTTAAAGCCTTCCTTCCATCTTCAGCACAAGCCAGCATCTGTCCTCTGTGCCTCCCAGCTCCAGATCTTCCAGTGACCCAAGACTTCCTCAAACCCAGCCTGGGCTGGCAAGCATTCTCTCACCTGGCCCCAGGGACTTGTAGCCCCAGGCCTGCAGTATGTTCCCCCACAGAACCACATGGTGCCTGCTTCATCCTAGCCTCCTGTCTGTGGGCTCTGGGATGGTCCCCTATGATGCACAGGGTGGAGATGTGGGAGGGAGCCTCATGGCTGATACCTCAGAAGTGGTGCAGGAGGTGGCAGCTGCCTGTGGTGTGAGTGGGAACAGATGGTGAATAGAGTGCCCCTTCTCTCCATCCTGTGTAGGTCACCAGGGGATGACACTGCTGAACAAACAACCAGTCACACCCTCTGTTCACTCCCCAGCTGCCCCTGAGGCATCAAGGGGAAGAGCCGCCCCATCTGTGGTTGAGCAGAAAGGAGAGGGAACCCCCATGCCCGCTGGACTTGGCTCAGGCCAGCAGGCCTCATGTCCCACCCTGCATCCACTTTCTGTGTAGCACTGAGCACAATGGGAGAACCTCACCTCCCTCCTCTGTCAAAGGGAGAGGGTCCTTTCTTCTGCTCCCCTGGAAGGGGAAGGAAATGGGAGTTCCCACCAGGAAGAGCACAGGAGGTCTTGTATTGGACTGAATAGAAGTTTACATTTTCTTTGGCATTTGAGACACATGGATTCTGCTCTATAATTTATAGCTGCGTGACTGCAGCTGCCATCAGGCCCACCTGGCAATGAACCTGAAAAGGATACGTGCTTTCTCTTAAGGTGGCCCTGTGCTGTGGCTATACTTACACTTGTAGCCAGGTAACCTTTGGGTTGTACACAACCCATACAACTAGTTGTGCCCACCAGCTATGTGTGTACTCTTAAGAAGGCAATGATTTCTCTCTTTACCACTGAGGTTCAGCTTACCCATCTATAAAATGGAGTTATATAGTAATTTCTTACGTATTCCCAGAGCTATTAGGAAATTCACTTCCATTATAATGTCTACCACAAGCAGTTCTGGGTTCTGGTAGGAACTAGAAGTAGTTTATATCCTCTAAAACACATTTACAAGTTTTAAAGGTGAGGCTATGAAATGTGAGCCACACCCTTTCCAAGGTCATACAGATCAGCATTAGAGTCTAGGATTTCCAGCCAATCCCAGGATTGGTTGGAAAGTTCTAGAAAATCTAAAATTTGTGGTGGAACTGGCTTTGTCTCAAATTACCAGACGCAGAAACCAAGGCTCAGTAAGGCCAGACAGCTTTTAAATGGTGGTGCTGGATTCCAGTCCAGGACTGCCTCAGCTGTGGCCTCCAGGTCTGGTCCCTACTTCCTAGTCATCTTCTGGAGAGTTCTTTGAGATCCTCCCTGAATGGTCAGCCTGATCAGGATGGCCTTGAATGCCAAGCAAAACAGCATGATTTTCCTTCCGAGTTTGGGGCAGCTCCTGATGGGTTCTTAGGTGGTAGAGATGGTATGGGCTGGAAAGCCAGAGAGGGGCAAAGGTTTATCAAAAGGGGTGGTCTTTAGGGTGAGGAGCCTAACAAGCTCAGATCTACCACACACTCATGCAGGAAAATTGTAGTGTGAGGTTCTGGGGACAATGTTGCAGAACTCAGGGTGTGGGCCTGGGGCCTAGAAAGCTTGTGGTTCTGAGAGGGCCCCAAGATCCAGCAATTTCTATATAGATTTCTGAGGTAGTATCCTATGTAGAGAAAGGGGACTAGAACTCAACTAGGATCAGGCTGGGCAAAAGAGCTGGGGTCTGAGGAAGAAGGGCAGGTTCCCATTTCTCATGGCAGATGTCAGGAGGGCATTGGTAGGGTATGTCCCAAAGGGCCAAGGCTTGGGAGCCACTTCCTCATTCCCACAGGGTGGAGTGCTGTCCCTCCCACTGTCCCACCCTTCCACCCCTGCCTTACACCAGGCAGGCCCTGGCAGGAGGCTGTGGGAGGAAAAGCATCAGGAATCAAAGCCTCCAGCACTACCCCCACTTAGGAAGAGCAAAACTGAAGAGCCACAGTGGGTTGAAGAAAAGGGCTCCTCAAACCCCCAGCTCCCCAGCTGCCCCCTGACCTGAATGCCAAATCAGGTCCAGTGCAGATTTAGGCTCACGCGTCATCCCAGACCAAACCCCAATCATAAACCCAACCCTAGCCACACCTCTAACTTCAGCTGTGTGCTCCATCCTGCTTTCAACCCTACTGAGAGCACTGACCTAACCCCAGACCAACTGCATGTCCCCTATGGTCCCCAATCCTACCTGTCCCTCCCACTCCAAACCTATCCCAAACCTCATCTCCTTTCTAATCCTAACCCTAGTCCAAACCCCAGTTCAAATCCTATCTTGAACTCCTAATGGCTGTGTCAGTCTCAAACTTGACCACAGTCCCAAACCCTGTGCCCCCACCTAATGCTGACCTTCACATTCATGTTCACCCCACCCAGTCCACCCAACCCTATGCAATGCCAGCACCACCTCCACTGACTCTTGAATATCCCAGTGCAGGCTGCATCCCAGCCCCCCTCGTCCTTCCCTGGGTCCCTGGACACACGTACCTCAGCACATAGACATGCACTCCTTAGCATATACACAGAAGCACACAGCACCTCAGTGGATGTGTATGCACCTGGGTGTCCACGCACACCAGCTGGGGCAGGAGGGCCAGGCTGGCTTCTGAAACCCCTTCCTTGCCAAGCTTCACTCTCTTCAGTCCCTTCTTCAATATTGCTTCTGGCACACAGGCATTCCTGCCCCACCGCCCAGCTGTCCAGACGTGCAGCCAGGTTTGTGCAGCAGAGATGGAGCGGCTAGGGCCACCCTTCCCCCTGGGCCCCACTCACCATAGGTTAAGCAATGACAAACACTGGCAGCACAGCCAGGCTCAGCAGGACTGAAGGGAGTGGGAGTGTGGGCACAGGGTCCCACACACAGGAGCTGCAGAGGGGCCTGAGATCCCACTGGAGGACCCTGCGGAGGCAGGACTGGCAGGATGGAGAAGCCAGCACAGGATAAGGCCTGGCTGTGGCTCAGACATCAGGAGGCTGGTTTGAGACCAGGAGCTCATGCTGCCAAGCATATGACTGGCCCTTCACTGATCACTTCCTGTGTGCCAGGCACTGGGTCTCTCTCTTTTTTAGTGAGACCCTGTAGGCTCTGTTTTATTTTATTTTATTTTCCATAATTTTATTGAGAAACAAATAGCAATGAGAGTTTCAAATCAAATTGGTAGGACAGTTTCAATAATTAACACATTGCATACTGTCTTCCCAGTGGTCATTTGTTGTAAAGGATGCAGACATGATATCCTATTTACAAACACCATTAGAACAAATCCCTCTATTCACTGAAGTAAGAGAATGTAGCTATATATCTGTCCTAACCATTTTGAATACACAGATACAAAACGGACATTCATCTGTATCCTCTTTTTTTTAGTTCCATCATTTAAATATTATAGGTGGGTCAACTCAGCAAAATATTCCAAAATAGTCCAGTAGTCCATAATAGTATTGGGTCTTCTGCATGACTGGTAATGTCAGAAGTTGTTGACCTGAGTCCCCTACAACTCAACATAACGGCTTTACTTATACTTTGTTTTTATACTTTTCTGCTGGATGTTTAAGACCAAAATAAACCAAGACCTATGCAACAAGAATTGTAGTTTTTGTATCTCATAAAGTCAGTCAAATCTCCTCAGTGGGTCTCACTCTTAAAACTTAACACTTAAAAGAGTAACCCACCCTACCAGGTAGGTATTAGTACTGGTCTCCACAGGGGACACAGGGACATTACTGAATCTCATTAAGGGAAAGACTCCTGCCCACTTACATCACACACATCAATGGGGCAGTAAGTGGAAGGTGAGTGCAGACTGAGTCCTTCTCTAAAATCATAGTTGCCCCGCCTGAGAATGACTGTCGTTTGAAGCCCCTAATCTCAACTTTCCCTTTCCCAGGCTCATTTGCACTTCTCTGAATATCCCAAGCTCATCTCACCCCATGGCTGTCCCAAGTGCAACACCCTCTGCACAAAGTGGCCTTCCAGCTGGTCCCCTCAACACTCTTTAGGCATCAGCATTGGCACAGCCTCCCTGGGGAAGCCTTCCTGAGCTGGCCCATTCCTGCCATAATGTGGCCCCACCATGGGCCCCGCCATGCTCCTCTCTTCCGCACAGCCCTGTGGTCCTCACCCAAATTGCCCTGTGACATAGTTGCTGTCTGGGTCTGTTTCTCTCTCTTCACGGGCAGGGCTGGTTCCCCAGGGGCTGTGCCCCAGAGGAATGCAGGACACAGCCCACTGAAAGTCAAAGTGGTGCCCTGGGAGGGGTGTGGGCTCTGCCAGGCTGGGGCCAGTCTCTTATCTCGTAGGGCTGCCCAGACCCTTATCTGATGTGAACAGCAGATGGGATGCTGACAAGGGCTGGAGGTTACTCAGTAACTCTGACCTCCTTAAAAGGCCTGCTCTTACCTGACACCAGAACCAGTCTTTTCTCCTGGCTTCTGCTGCCATGAACACCTTCCTGTTCTCCGCGCTGTGCCTTGGCACTTGGGCTGCCCTGGCAGGGGCAGTCACTGTGCAGGTAAGCACCACAACTCATGTGGTCTAAGGGCACCAAAGCTTGTTCCCTGAAGGACCACATCTCAGGCCACAGTGGAGGTGCACTGCCTCTGGGCATCCACAGTCCTGCTTGGCACACACGTCCCCTTCAGCCCTTGAGGAGAAAGAAACCCTGGAGACAGGAAAGGTGAGAGGTGGCCTACCTGCCAGGAAGTTTCTCCTCAGCACCTCACTGTGAGGAGGGCATTTCCAGTCCCACTTTACAGAGGGAAACAGCTTCACAGAGGCTCTGTAAGGTCCAGGGATGCCCTGCTAGCTTGTGAAGGAGCTGGATTCAACCCTAGGTCTTTTTCCTCAGTCCTGGGATCTGCTACAGAGGCTGTCTTGGGCAGCAGAACCATGTGGACATCCTAGAGGTCTTGACACTTGTGCCTACCTGGGCAGCACCATTCACAGGCCCAGCTGGCACCCAGCAGGGCATCCACGCTTCAGGAGAGGTTCATGGAAGCTGGTTTTTTTTTTTTTTTTTTTTTTCCTTCCCTAAAGACAGGTTCTCAGCATGTAGTCAGAGCTGGCCTCAAACTCAGGATCCTTTCCCTCAGCCTCTTGAATACTGGGATTACAGGCATGTACCACCTGGAGATTTTATTGCTTCTCAAACAGAAACCAGGCAAAGGCTGGAGGTAGAGGGTCAGCCACAATTCTTTCAAAAGGGGGAAAACCATGTGGTAGGAAGTGTTCTGGATCTGAATTTTGTGCTTCTGGAACTCCATATCCATCTTCTCCATTCTTCCTGTGACAGTGTGCAGAGCCCAAGGCCTCTAGAGCATCCAGGATCATGCTCAGGGTCACACAGCAAAGCCAGGAGTGCAGGTGGAAGCTCTGGACTCCACACTGTTCCTAGGGGATGTCCCCTCCCTGGGCTGGGCCCCGCCAGGCCTTATGCTCCACTGTTATTCTCTCAGGATGGAGATTTCTCCTTTCCACTGGAGTCAGTGAAGAAACTTAAAGACCTCCCAAAGGTCCCAGAGCCCAGGATTCAGGGCCACAGGAAGTTTGTGGCTCCACCACTCTGCAGCAACCCAGGGTTTCCGGAAGAGCTCCGGCCTGTCTGCAGTCAGCCTAATGCAGAGGACATCCTGCACCGACTTGGTGAGTGGGCTTGGGCATCCTCTGATTGGTAGCTCTTGGGAAGAGATGCAACCTGATTGGTGGGGTTCAAGTGGCTCAGCTCTGATTGGTGGATATGTAGAGCTTGGCTTAGATGAGTTCTAAGTGGTTAGAGATGGTTAGTAGGTGGCTCTGTGTGCCATCATCTCATCCAAGCTCTGCTGGCTTTCTAGATAAAGCTTCCCTCTGAGTGACTGGCTTGAGTGGTCCCTAGAGCTTTGTTTAGAAGAAAGGCCAGCAGGTCAGAGAGAATAGTTCCTGGGGCTGGGGTCGAGGATGTCCAAACTCTGGCTGAAGGGGAGCGGGGAGCCTTGGGGAAGGGAAGCTGGCATTACCAGGTACTCTTTTCTATCCAGAGGTCATTGCTCAGGACCCGAGCACATGTGAGATCTGTGCCTACGCTGCCTGTGCCGGATGCTAGGGCGGCCCTGCTCACTGCCTTCCTTCCAGGGAAACCCTTTCTTCTGCTGAAAGGACAACCTGTGATCCTCCCGCTCCCAGCAGCTCAACCTGCACTGCCCTAGAAGGGAGTCCAGGGAGGCGCTGCCTGACTGGGGGCTCCAGGCCTGAGACTGAGCTTTCTAAGATCCATGCTAATCCTCAGCTAATAAACCAGATTCCAGAGTACTCCTGGTGTTGCTTTCATTCCTTCCTTCAGCCATCACTCTGGTCTCTGTCCAGCTTCGTGGCTGCCTATCCTGGCCTGAACAACTGGGGCTTAGTGTGGATGCTTCCTGTTGAGCTACTCATGCCTCACCCCCAAGGCTGCCACCACACACAGGTACTGAAGCTCTAGGCCTCATCTGGAGAGTATAGAGTCTCCACTTTTCCTTCACATCTCCTACAGTCACCAAAGTGAGCACAGGAGGTTGTCTAAATAGGACACTATGACATCAGTGTCCAACTCTTGGTGTCCTCCCTTCCTGTCCCCTTCAGGGTGTGACACCCTCTGACCATGCTAGGTTGCCTCCTGCCCTCCCCTGAGATTCCATTCAAGGCCTACCTCTGTTCCCACTGACTTCTGTGCCCCTCTTCCCATGTTCCTGGGCTGGGTAAACTACTTAGGCTCTATGGCCTCTCTTTAAGACACCATTCCCAGTGCCCTCACAGGAAAGCATCTTAGTGTCCTCACCCTGTCCTGGGTGCTAACAGGGCACTTGGAGCACCCAAACCCCTTGTACAGCTCTGTCCAGCAGGCTGTGTAACAGCTTCTGTGCCTGAGGAAAGTTGCCTACTCTGGACACAGGGAAGTATGCCTGCATGATGCTTGCCTGAGGATGTAAGAAGGCCGGAGGCTGGGACTGCATGGTTACTGGTCTGAGCTCTAGCCCTCATTCTTTCATGTACTGTGTGATGTTAGGAAAATCATTTTCCTTCCCTGTGCCTCAGCCTCTCTCTCTGTAAAACTGGACATGGATGGTAGGTACCTGGCTCCAGGCTAGGCTACATAATGCATTGAAAGCCCCAACTCAGACCTAAGAGAAACGTAAGAGGAACTCAGTGAATGGTAAAAACCAATTAAAAAAAAAAACAGAACTATAGTTGGGCTGCGAATGGCTCAGACAGGCATGGGGAGGGGAGGTGTGAAGGCCTAAAGGTCTAGGGGATAAAAGAAGAGGAGACAACCAAAGCCCTTGCGAAATGCCATGGAGGGGAGTCTAGGAAAGATTCCCAGGGGCTGTGGGATAGAGTGGAAGGGTGATTTGCTTCCAGCTGAGATCAGGAAGGGTTTTGTGAAGGAGAAGGACCAAGTTTTCATCAGCTCTTGGAATTTGCTTTGGCTTTCCAAGTCAATATGGAGGTTGGAAGAGAAACTTTCACGATGAGAGGCTCAGAATGAGAGGCGGGTGTGGCCGTGCACTGGGAAACTAGGGTAGCTCAGTGTGGACAAGGTTAGCCTGAAAGGCGAAAAGGAATGAGTTGGAGCTGACATGTCCTTCACAAGCTGTATGACCTTCTCTGAGTCTTGGCTTTGTCATCTGGATATGGGTTGATGACAGATCCGACCTCCTCAGTCTGCCGGGGACTTGATGAGAGGAGGGGCAGGTAGAAGCCTTCAGCGCCCAAACTCTGGAGCCAGTGCTAACAGAGAACCCTGGCTCTGCCTGTGATGGCTGCATGACTTGGGAAGGAATCCTTAGTTTCCTGTTTGGCAAAGTGTGGGTGATGTGAATGCCAGCTGTGGGCTCTGGGGTGAAGACTAAAGGAGGCGATGCTGGGAAAGTTCTGAAGGCTTCACCAGTGAGAAAAGGAAATTAAAAGGAAAATTGAAAGGCATCTTTAGATACGAAAATGAAGGCAACATCTCAAGTGTTATTATGGAATGCAGCAAAAGCAGTTCTAAGAGGTAAGTTTATAGCAGTAAGTGCCTACACAGAGAAAAGGAGGGCTGCAAATAAACTACCCAGCACAAACCCCAAGGAACTAGAAAAAGAATACACAAAGCCCAGTTAGTTAAAAGAAAAAACTAATAAAGATCAGAGCAGAAATAAGTGAAACAGGGACTAGGACACAATAGGGAAGATCAATATATATATTGATCTATCTATCTATCTATATATATATATATATATTTTAGATAAAAGTGACAAGAATTTAAGAAAAAAAGAGAAGACTCAAAAGCATCAAAACCTTTCTATTTAGATCAGGAACAAGACAGGGACATTCCTTGCTACTTTTGTTCAACATATTTCTCAAAGTCTTAGCCAGAATAATTACATAAGAAAGTAAATTTTAAAAGGCAGCCAAACCAAAAGACAAGGAACTAGTCACTTCTTTTCACAGATGACATGATCTTACGTATAGAAGCCTTCCACTCTCTACTGAATACCTTGTTAGAACAGATAATTTCAGTAAAGTTGCAGGATACAAAACTTAATGCACAAAATCAGTAGTATTTCTGTACATTAACAGCGGAGTAAACCTAAAAAAAAAAAGGACCCTAAATCAAGTATATTTGCTTTCTGAAAGAAAAAGAGGAGCAGGGGAGGGGATGAGGGCGCTGAGGAGGAGGAAGAAGGCAGGAGAGGAAGAGGAGGAGGGGGAGGTGGGGAGGTGGGGAGTTCTACTGGCCAGCAACTGTGCTTCACGTGCCTCCTCTCAGCTCCCTCCGTCCAAGTGCAGTGCGGCCTCAGCCTCCCCTGCACCGGGTGAGCGCACTGCTCTGCCAGCGCCCCCCCCCCCCCTGCTCTCTCCACCAAGCCGGTAGGAGCACAGCGAACCCTACTGGCAGTGAGAGTCCAGATGGTGCCTGGGCGCAGGCTCGACTTGAAGGCGGCCCTGGGGAGCCACGGCAGGGTCAGGGCAGTGCCTGCTGTTCTTCTGGGTGAGGTGCCTACAGGATGCAAGAACATGAAGCTCTGGCTGGCCAAGTGGTGGCAGAGGTGGGACTGCAGCAGGCTGTGCACAGGGCCCTGGCCACAGGGGCCGGAGAGGAAGAGGTGGGAGTGCTAGGAGGCAGTCAGGTCCGGCAGTGGTCAGGATTCTCCGTGGGCTTGGAGACTTAGGGAGGATCCAGCCTTTTGCGGCAGCTTTTCTGCTCCCTGGCTCTCAGGAGGAGGTCTGAGAAGGGTCCCACCTTGGGGAAAGACCCTGCTTGAGAATTGCTAATGCAGCTCCTGGCTTGAGCTCAGGCCCTGTCAGGATGTGGTGGCTGCCTGGGGCCCTGCTGCCATCAGCTGTGGGCTGGGACAAGGCAAGACAGGAGCAAGGGAGTCAGAGTGTGGACACGGGTCAGATGTGCCGGGAAGAACTTGCTTGGCCGCTGTGCGAGTGTGTGGCTCCAGGCTGGGGCTTCTGTGTGTGCTTGACTCCCTATGTGAAAGGAGATGGGCAAGCCGTCCATCTGGCTGAGTACCCGTGCCCAGTGTTGGCAACAGTGCTGGGGACTGAGCACAGGCTCAGCAAGTCTTGGCTACCATCCATACCCCCAGGCCACAAGGGAGGAAAAGGAGGTCTCCTAGCTGGAGCTCAGGGTGAGAGGACAAAGGGTGGGGACAGAACCTGTCTCCAACAGCCCTGAGGAGCCTGGAGAGAGCTTCTCTTCCCCATGCTTCTTCCCACCTCTGCTCCTCCCATCAATAGCACAGGAGCTCTGGCTGCAAACTGGGGGGCTGTGGCTTCAGCTGGAGGGTCCCAGAGTCTGGATTGCTCTGTAAGCTTGGCCCCCCTTATCTATGAGCGGGGTTTCATGAGTCAGCCCCTCAGGCCTTGAAATCTCGGGGAAACTCCTGCCTGTTATCTCTGCCCACCCTTTCTCCTCTGCCATCCAGCTTCCCACTGCCTCCACCCATTGCTCTTTGGGATGGATAAACAGACACTTGGCCCCGTGTGGGCAGAATCTTTATTCAGAAACAACAGGCTTAGCTCTCCTTGGGTCCAGCTGCCTAGGCCCTGGGAAGGTGGTGATGGCTTCTCCATTGAGCTTGGGGAGGGGAGAGGAGGGGAGCTGCACGGCAATGGGCTGGGGCTGGGGGTGCCCAGGATCATCTCAGCAGCCCGTACAGGCAATGTTCACACACAGCTCACACTCGTCATTATCCATGGTCCCTGGATGGAGAGAAGGTCAGTCAGGTGAACCTGAACCTGAACCTGAGATGCTATGGTTGCCCAGGGGCTACTGGCCAGGCTGCAGAAAGTGGCCACCTAGGTGAGGTTTTGGACCATCCTCCCAGCAGGAAGCTTGGGCTGCAGAGTGAGGGGCATAGGCTCCGATCCCACTGTGCCTGGGCAAGGTACTTCTGCTCTGGGCCCAAGTTCAGATTCTTGTCTATTATAGAGGAAAGAGACAGAGCATCCTGACCAGGAGCCATAAAGGGAATGTGGCAAAGGGCCCAGCACAGAGGAGGGGGCAGCAAGACACGGAGTTCTGTTGTGCAGCTCTGCTGTGCCCTCTGATTTCTGCTTAGCTGTCTCTGCCCTTGGAAGCCTTCCAGATCCTCATCCCAGCAGACCACTGGCTGTGAGCATCCCTGGGCTTCCATACTCACTGTTGGTGGGGGGAGGGCTTCTCTCTGGGCTCCCTCCCCTCCCATCTATGGAGTCTTGGATGGACTCCAAGACTGACTTTGTGTCCAAACCAGGACATTCCTGGGGAGGGCAGGGGTGGGATTCTGGATCCTCCCTTCCTGCAGCAGGTGGTGTGGAGCTTAAATTGGTTGGGACAGGAGAGGCAGGAGGATCTTCCAGCTGGGGGTGGGGCACTTACTCAAGGCCTGCAGAATGCTGGCAGCCTCCTGGGAGGCACAGATAGGCTGGAGGTCCAGGGGCAGAGCTGGGTGGTGGCATACAGAGGGCTGGGGGCTCTGGGCCTGCAGGCGGGGGCTGGGCTTCCACTGTCCTTCCAGGGCCTTCAGCTTCTTCACAGACTCCAGTTGGACCTGGTAGCCTTGGTACTGTGGGAGGGAGGGTAGAAGGGGTCAGTAGGGATGGGCAGGGCCACCATGATCCCTGGGGGCCCTAGAGCCATACAGATCCCTGGACCCTCTGCTGTCCTCATGAAAAGTCCGGATTGGGCTGCAAAGAGCAGCCTGGGAGAGCTCAGTCGTGTCTGGTCTATTGAGCCCTTTGCACACACTCTGCCCCAGGCTGTTGGGAGCTGGGGAGCAGTCTTTGCAAGCTGGGTGACTCTGTGGACCAAGACTTGGTGTTAGAGGTGTGCAGACTGAGGTTTGAGCCCCACCTCTGCCCTGACCATCTGAGCCTGGGCTCCTTCACCACCTAATATCCCCTGTGGGGCTCTTCTGGAGCTGACTTGGTGACACGAGGCAACCCAGGCTGGCTGGGCTGGCTCTCTCAAACCCCTTCCCAGACCTCTTCATTCTTCTGGGGAGACTTTGCCCTGATCAAGCATGTGATGCCAGAGCTCCCCATATTTTTTTGTCAGATCATTTTAGTCAGTTTTGTTGTTTTTTGTACTGGGGATCGAACTCAGGACCTTGCACTTGCCAGGCAGGTGCTGAAGCTGCAGAGCTGTTTCCCTGGCTCGAGCTCCCCACATTTGGCAGAGGCCAGCCACACCCCACCGCACAGTTGCCAGGCCCTGCTTGCATAGCTTCTTCCCATCTCACAGCCCCTGGAAGGGCCCTGCAGCCTTGCCACCTGCCCTCTGGGCCTTTGGCTTTTTTTTTTTTTCTTTTTGGCAGAACCAGGATTGAACTCAGGCCCTTGTGCTTACCAGGCAAATGCTTATTCTACTGAGCTATCTCTCCAGCCCCTAGGGCCTTTAATATGCCACACCTCTGCCCGCAGCAGGTCCCCCACCATGATGGATACGCTCAGACAGTTTGTGTGTCAGACGTGGCCTCATAAAGGAGGGGTCTCCTCAGGCTCCTCTTCAATCCCACATCGTGTTCTACCTTCTGAGCCCTGGGACTAGCATCAGCCTTTGCCAAAGCAGTGCTAATTGAACAGCAGTGTGGCTCTTATGTCCTTCACTGTCACCATCACGGTCACTGTCAACATTCCGCCTGTTCCCAGGCACCAGCTGTCTGGACTCTGGACTTGACTGGGTGTCAGGCTGAGGTTGAGGGACTCACCTTGATGGAGACTGACTGTGTGCCCTGTAGCAGCAGCAGCAGGACCACAGCCAACCCCGACAGGCACGCCAACAAGGTCCTGCTGCCCATTTTGCTCCCTCTGTGTCCCTGCTGTCGCTGTCCACCTGGCTGCCACTTGCTTCCCACCTGGCGGCGCCTTATAGCCCAGGCTGCAGAGGCCTGGTCACTCATTAACTGGCCAGCTCGGGTGGGGCTGACAGAAGTTGGCTCTCTGACAAGCCAGGACTGGTTCCCAGGAAGGAGCCTGGGGTGACAAGGGCAAGAAACCCAGAGCACAGGGCCTGAGAGAAGTGACTTCCCATGCTGGCTGCCCATGTGGGGCTCTCTGTGAAGGCCTTGCTTACCACTTTCCTTTGCCCTTTCATGCCCACAGGTGGTGGGGGGGGGGAGAGAATTTCACAGACAGGGAAAGTGAGGCCCATGAGGCCAAGTGACCTATGCAGGTTAGAGAGCTCATCAGTGGCAGAGTGGGGACTCCAACCAGGTGTCATTGACCCAGGTCAGACTAATTCTTTCTTTGGGACCAGGACACACAGATACAAAGGGGTGAGGGCACAGGATTGGTGTCAGGGCTTCTCTCCTTAAGACTACTATCTCTACTTGTATTTCTAGTCCTACTGAGGGGCTGTCCTTCCCACCAGCTCCCCACCAGGCCTCTGCCTATCATCTCCTGACTTGGGCCTGTCTGCTGCCCCCGTGTGTGGCCCATGTCCCTGGCTTGTGCCTGCCAGGAGCCAACAGCTTAAGTCGGCATGGAGGAAGTAGGACCTGAGTTCTGCGGTGAGCATGATCTCAGACAAGCCCCCGAGTCTGGCTGAACTTGCATGCTCTTTCATCCCTGCAGGCACACAGAGCTCTGGACGCATGGTGGCTGGAGGGGTGCTGCAGCGGTACCCACCGGAGTGCCCTTCACCTCCTACATGACACCTGTTGCAGGTCCATTAACCTCACAGTTGCATCTGAGGCAATGCGTAAGCCCACTGTCACAGTGGGTGAAGGGTGGGCCAGAGAGACAAGGGCAAAGTCTCCACAGGTGATGTCACCATGGCAAGACCAGGCAGCTATAAACAGGGCATGGCCAGGCGCATTCGGCCTCTGGTGGGCACCCCATGCATAATACTGGGTGGTGGCCCCCACAGTGCATTTTGCCACTCTTAACTTGGCGGCCAAACCAAAGTCACCATGTTGCATCCCATACCCTCCCTCCCTACAAGTGCCTGATCCCATCTCCTGTTTCCTTGATGCCTGGGATGTACATGTATCTGTTTTTTATCTTGGACTGAAAAGAGGGGGAAGCTCCATTGAACTTTGGCATTTGCTGTGTGTTGCTTTGAATCCAGACTTAGCCCTTGCTCTCCAGAGTGTAAAGACACTAGTGGCTAATAATCAATGATAACAGTCACTTTTGTTTTTTGAATACTGTGTGCTAGGCACATTGCTGTAGTGTGAGTATGATCCCATTTAGCCCTGCAGGGCACGTGTGACGATTGTCCCCATTTCACGGATGCTGCCTGCAGCCTCAGTAATGTACCCTGCCTGTTGCTGTTGTGGGAGAAGGCAGGATGAGCAGGCTTGCTATTTAGAAAATTCTCACCTTTTCTCAAGAAAAGCCAGCAGGCCTTGGAAATGGGGAGAGCTGTCTTCTAACCTGGACTCTGGCAGTCATGAGCTCTGTGCTGTTGGACACATTATGTAGCTTCTCTGGTCTTCTGTTTCTTCACCAGTAAAATGAAGAATATAATGCGCAACCTTACAGTGTTTGTTGTGAGGGAAAAAAAAAATCTTTCCTCTTTTTCCAGGGAGTACATGCCTCTCCCCATTCCTAAATTGCGCATTTCACCACCATGAGCCCTGGCCGGCCGGGGAGATCTGCAGGTTTCCCTGCCTGCCTTCCCCATGGAGCCTGCCAGACAGACCCCGAGCCTGGGGCTGCAGCTGAGCGGTTCTGGCCTTGGTCAGTTCAGGCTGAACTTGAGGCCGTCCTGTCCAGCACAGCGTGTGACCAGCGGCTGCAGCCTTGCCAGGTGATACAAGCTCTGTGACCTCAGTTTCTCATTTGAAATAAAGGTGACCCATTTCCAGCACTGGAAGTTGTCACCAGGCCACTTGAGCCCAAATCTGTGCTCCTTCTACCAGCATCAAGGGGTACTGGGGTCCCTCCCAGGCACATGGAGGGACAAGGTCCAAGCCTGTGGGTACAGAGGGCCCTGTCACTGTGGTTCCCCTCCCTCCTTCACCCCTAACCCCATCCTCTAGGGCCTCTCACAAGTCAGTCTTTCCCCGGGAACAAGGTACAACTTCCTTATCTGCTTGACAGGACTTGGATTCCTGCTCAAAGCCATCTCCTCCTAATTGCTTCATGAATGACCCCACATCCATCAATGCCACACAGCCACAGGCTGCAAACCTTGCTGCCAGCCCCACCAGCCCACGCATGATGATGACAATGATGACGCATGCTGCAGAGTACTTCCCTCTTCACGTATGTGGGAAGTGATGGTTACGCTGGCCTGTGAAGGTCTCGTGGGATACAGGGGTGATGGTTCACCCCTGTGTTTTTGAACATCTCATCCTGCTCCTCACACTGGGCTTCTGCCTCCTGCTCACTGCCACAGGCAGCCTGTGACACCTTATCCCACCAGTGGCTGACCATGCCACCTTTCGGCCTTCGTTTGTTTTCTGGGACACACACTCTCCAAGTTGAAAGTTCCTCTCATTGGCTCTGCTGCCTTGGTTCCTCAGTTGGTTTCTTCTCTTCTTGTGCCCTAGATGTTAGAATAGCTCCAGGGCACCCCAGGCTCGCTCCGGTCACATATCATCTCCCCTAATATTTGCACCATCATCTTGGTTTCGTGGATGAGCCAGGGAAGCGCTTATTCTACTGACCCATCTCCCCAGCCCATTCATGGATTATTGAGACATCTTGTAACAGGCAAAGTTCTCCAGAGAAACAGAATTAATAGGAGCTGTTCATTTATCAAACAATACAGTTAATATTTGAATTTTTAAAAGTTTGTTATAGTAAAAGATACATTACCATGAGCCTCCCTCAGAATCCTCTTCTGTCTTTAAAACATACTGCATTGCTTTTTGCACTTGCTGCCTTGCTGTTCTGAATCAGTTCAAAATGCTTATCTTTCATGGTCATTTCAATTTTGGGGAAGAGCCAGAAGTTGCACGGACCGCACCCTGTGAGCAAGGTGGGTGGAGACACTGTAAAGCTTGGCGAGCTTGCCTTTCTCAGCATTTACCATATTTTTGGTCATACCTCATAAAGACACTTATGAAAGAAAACTGCTTCAGAAAGTGGCAAGAAAAATGGGATAATTGTGTTTGAAGAGGGTGGGGGATCTTGAGGGGGAGTAAATGGCAATATGTTTTTACTGTCATATTTCAAAAAATTAAGTGTTCACTGTATTTTTTGTGTGTAGGGTCTCACTAAGCAGCTCAGACTTGTAGTGATCCTCGTGTTTTCTGCCTCTCTACACTGTATACTTTGATCATACCTGATCCATCTATTCCTCCATCTATCTACCTACCTGCCAGTCTTTTACTTGGGTTTATTTTAAGAAATTGGCTCATGTGGTTGTCAGGGCTAGCAGGTCTGAAACCTGTAATGCAGGCAGGTGGGCCAGGAACTCTTCAGGTCAGAGTTGAGATTAATCTGCAGTGAATTCTATTTTTATTTTATTTTATTTTATTTTATTTTATTTTATTTTATTTTTTTGTGGAACCAGGGATTGAACTTAGACCCTTGCGCTTGCCAGGGAAATGATTATTCTACTGAGCCATCTCCCCAGCCCTGCAGTGAATTCTTATGCAGTCACTTTACACAACTGCTCCCTTCCTGTCACTGCTTCTCTATGGGGCTGCTCCACACGACTGGTCCAAGTGATCCCCTTTCACGGCCCACGGGAACAGTGCCACCTCTCAGCGGCAGCCTGACCTCCTACAGCTTGTGCCTGCTTGCTTTCAACCTACCAATTGCTGGGTGTGGTGGCACATGCCTCTAATCCTAGCACTCTGGGAGGCCAAGACGGGAGGATCACAAGTTCAAGGTCAGTCTGAGCATTTTGGTAATTTACAAAGAACCTTCAAAATAAAAAAATAGAAAAGGTCTGGAGATGTAACTCGGTATGAATGGCTTGGATTCCATCCCCATAAAGGAAAAAGGAGACAGAAACAAACAAACAAAGCCAACTAAAACTGAGCCATCAACCAACAGCCACCAACTAGCACACCTGAAGGGAAACCTGGTTGGGCAATCCCCTAGCTCAGTGATGGCGAGCCCCTTAGAGCTTTTGATGATGCAAATGGCCCGCTGCAGCGCAGCGCCATAGGCTCACCACCACTGCCCTTGGCACACTTCAAACATGTTCAAGATCACTTATACCTTGAGGTTTTTGCTGTGCATACCTACATTGGCAAGAGCCAGCCCTTCTTTAAGTCCTCGTGCCCCCTTCCTCAAAGCCATCTTTCCAGATTAGCCCACGTCAGAGCTTCCCCCTTACTCCTAATCTCATAAATTGTTTGCTTTTTGCACATTAGATATACAAAACACACACACACACACACACACACACACACACGCATGCATGCATGCACGCATGTTCCATTCCTTGTGTACTTTTACTAGGATGCAAGCTCTATCAGCTGTTGCCTGTTTTGTTCTCCCAGAACAATACCTGGCATATAAATGGTGCTTAGCAAACAGTTGATGAGTTGAATAAATGGATGTCACTCAACTATCTATTCCACCAACCATTATATGTGTAGTCTTGGACAGCTTCCTACTTTTCTGAGCTATAATCACTTCATCCAGCAACTTCCTGGCATGTGGCATGTGTTCAGAAAGTGTTTACTAGTATTATTTTCATAGTTGGAAATCATTTCTGGAAATCCATCCTTTGTGTATCTCTTGTGCGTAGAAGCCTCTGTGGCATTCGATAATTTACTTGGGTGTTCACTGATGGCTTATTGTGTGCTGAGCACCAGTCTAAGCAAGAGGGATGCAGTAAGTAGCAAAACAGATGAGGTCAACACCCACAGGACAGCACAGTGACTTGGACAGGGGGTCAGGGCAGAAGGGTGAGAGGTGG